GTGACTGCGCAGATTTGAGGAGGCAGGGAGCGAGCATCATGAGCATCAGCTGGGTTGCTTTCCCGCTCCCATGGCCCCCGAAGCTCCAGACGCTTGCAAAACCCACCTCCCGAGTGACTGCGCAGATATGAGGAGGCAGGAAGCGAGCATCATGAGCATCAGCTGGGTTGCTTTCCCGCTCCCATGGCCCCCGAAGCTCCAGACGCTTGCAAAACCCACCTCCCGAGTGACTGCGCAGATTTGAGGAGGCAGGAAGCGAGCATCATGAGAGCGAGCATCATGAGCATCAGCTGGGTTGCTTTCCCGCTCCCATGGCCCCCGAAGCTCCAGACGCTTGCAAAACCCACCTCCCGAGTGACTGCGCAGATTTGAGGAGGCAGGAAGCGAGCATCATGAGCATCAGCTGGGTTGCTTTCCCGCTCACATGGCCCCCGAAGCTCCAGACGCTTGCAAAACCCACCTCCCGAGTGACTGCGCAGATTTGAGGAGGCAGGAAGCGAGCATCATGAGCATCAGCTGGGTTGCTTTCCCGCTCCCATGGCTTGCAAAACCCACCTCCCGCGTGACTGCGCAGATTTGAGGAGGCAGGAAGCGAGCATCATGAGCATCAGCTGGGTTGCTTTCCCGCTCCCATGGCCCCCGAAGCTCCAGACGCTTGCAAAACCCACCTCCCGAGTGACTGCGCAGATTTGAGGAGGCAGGAAGCGAGCATCATGAGCATCAGCTGGGTTGCTTTCACGCTCCCATGGCCCCCGAAGCTCCAGACGCTTGCAAAACCCACCTCCCGAGTGACTGCGCAGATTTGAGGAGACAGGAAGCGAGCATCATGAGCATCAGCTGGGTTGCTTTCACGCTCCCATGGCCCCCGAAGCTCCAGACGCTTGCAAAACCCACCTCCCGAGTGACTGCGCAGATTTGAGGAGGCAGGAAGCGAGCATCATGAGCATCAGCTGGGTTGCTTTCACGCTCCCATGGCCCTCGAAGCTCCAGACGCTTGCAAAACCCACCTCCCGAGTGACTGCGCAGATTTGAGGAGGCAGGAAGCGAGCATCATGAGCATCAGCTGGGTTGCTTTCCCGCTCCCATGGCCCCCGAAGCTCCAGACGCTTGCAAAACCCACCTCCCGAGTGACTGCGCAGATTTGAGGAGGCAGGAAGCGAGCATCATGAACATCAGCTGGGTTGCTTTCCCGCTCCCATGGCCCCCGAAGCTCCAGACGCTTGCAAACCCACCTCCCGAGTGACTGCGCAGATTTGAGGAGGCAGGAAGCGAGCATCATGAGCATCAGCTGGGTTGCTTTCCCGCTCCCATGGCCCCCGAAGCTCCAGACGCTTGCAAAACCCACCTCCCGAGTGACTGCGCAGATTTGAGGAGGCAGGAAGCGAGCATCATGAGCATCAGCTGGGTTGCTTTCACGCTCGCATGGCCCCCGAAGCTCCAGACGCTTGCAAAACCCACCTCCCGAGTGACTGCGCAGATTTGAGGAGGCAGGAAGCGAGCATCATGAGCATCAGCTGGGTTGCTTTCCCGCTCCCATGGCCCTCGAAGCTCCAGACGCTTGCAAAACCCACCTCCCGAGTGACTGCGCGGATTTGAGGAGGCAGGAAGCGAGCATCATGAGCATCAGCTGGGTTGCTTTCCCGCTCCCATGGCCCCCGAAGCTCCAGACGCTTGCAAAACCCACCTCCCGAGTGACTGCGCAGATTGAGGAGGCAGGAAGCGAGCATCATGAGCATCAGCTGGGTTGCTTTCACGCTTCCCATGGGCCTCGAAGCTCCAGACGCTTGCAAAACCCCACATCCCGATGATGCCCTGCGCAATTCTGGAGGCAGGGAAGCGAGAATCATGAGCATCAGCTGGGTTGTTTCCTGCTCCATGGGCCCTCGAAGCTCCAGACGCTGGCAAAAACCCACCTCCCGAGTGACCTGCGCAGATTGAGGAGGCAGGAAGCGAGCATCATGAGCATCAGCGGTGTTGCTTTCACGCTCACATGGCCCTCGAAGCATCAAGACGCTTGCAAAACCCCCCTCCCGAGTGACTGCGCAGATTGAGGAGGCAGGAAGCGAGCATCATGAGCATCAGCTGGGTTGCTTTCACGCTCCCATGGCCCTCGAAGCTCCAGACGCTTGCAAAACCCACCTCCCGAGTGACTGCGCAGATTTGAGGAGGCAGGAAGCGAGCATCATGAGCATCAGCTGGGTTGCTTTCCCGCTCCCATGGCCCCCGAAGCTCCAGACGCTTGCAAAACCCACCTCCCGAGTGACTGCGCAGATTTGAGGAGGCAGGAAGCGAGCATCATGAACATCAGCTGGGTTGCTTTCCCGCTCCCATGGCCCCCGAAGCTCCAGACGCTTGCAAACCCACCTCCCGAGTGACTGCGCAGATTTGAGGAGGCAGGAAGCGAGCATCATGAGCATCAGCTGGGTTGCTTTCCCGCTCCCATGGCCCCCGAAGCTCCAGACGCTTGCAAAACCCACCTCCCGAGTGACTGCGCAGATTTGAGGAGGCAGGAAGCGAGCATCATGAGCATCAGCTGGGTTGCTTTCACGCTCGCATGGCCCCCTAAGCTCCAGACGCTTGCAAAACCCACCTCCAGAGTGACTGCGCAGATTTGAGGAGGCAGGAAGCGAGCATCATGAGCATCAGCTGGGTTGCTTTCCCGCTCACATGGCCCCCTAAGCTCCAGACGCTTGCAAAACCCACCTCCCGAGTGACTGCGCAGATTTGAGGAGGCAGGAAGCGAGCATCATGAGCATCAGCGGGGTTGCTTTCCCGCTCACATGGCCCCTTAAGCTCCAGACGCTTGCAAAACCCACCTCCCGAGTGACTGCGCAGATTTGAGGAGGCAGGAAGCGAGCATCATGAGCATCAGCTGGGTTGCTTTCCCGCTCCTCCAGACGCTTGCAAAACCCACCTCCCGAGTGACTGCGCAGATTTGAGGAGGCAGGAAGCGAGCATCATGAGCATCAGCTGGGTTGCTTTCCCGCTCCCATGGCCCCCGAAGCTCCAGACGCTTGCAAAACCCACCTCACGAGTGACCGCTCCCATGGCCCCCGAAGCTCCAGACACTTGCAAAACCCACCTCCCGAGTGACTGCGCAGATTTGAGGAGGCAGGAAGCGAGCATCATGAGCATCAGCTGGGTTGCTTTCCCGCTCCCATGGCCCCCGAAGCTCCAGACGCTTGCAAAACCCACCTCCCGAGTGACTGCGCAGATTTGAGGAGGCAGGAAGCGAGCATCATGAGCATCAGCTGGGTTGCTTTCCCGCTCCCATGGCCCTCGAAGCTCCAGACGCTTGCAAAACCCACCTCCCGAGTGACTGCGCGGATTTGAGGAGGCAGGAAGCGAGCATCATGAGCATCAGCTGGGTTGCTTTCCCGCTCCCATGGCCCCCGAAGCTCCAGACGCTTGCAAAACCCACCTCCCGAGTGACTGCGCAGATTGAGGAGGCAGGAAGCGAGCATCATGAGCATCAGCTGGGTTGCTTTCCCGCTCCCATGGCCCCCGAAGCTCCAGACGCTTGCAAAACCCACCTCCCGAGTGACTGCGCAGATTTGAGGAGGCAGGAAGCGAGCATCATGAGCATCAGCTGGGTTGCTTTCCCGCTCCCATGGCCCCCGAAGCTCCAGACGCTTGCAAAACCCACCTCCCGAGTGACTGCGCAGATTTGAGGAGGCAGGAAGCGAGCATCATGAGCATCAGCTGGGTTGCTTTCCCGCTCCCATGGCCCCCGAAGCTCCAGACGCTTGCAAAACCCACCTCCCGAGTGACTGCGCAGATTTGAGGAGGCAGGAAGCGAGCATCATGAGCATCAGCTGGGTTGCTTTCCCGCTCCCATGGCCCCCGAAGCTCCAGACGCTTGCAAAACCCACCTCCCGAGTGACTGCGCAGATTTGAGGAGGCAGGAAGCGAGCATCATGAGCATCAGCTGGGTTGCTTTCCCGCTCCCATGGCCCCCGAAGCTCCAGACGCTTGCAAAAACCCACCTCCCGAGTGACTGCGCAGATTTGAGGAGGCAGGAAGCGAGCATCATGAGCAGCAGCTGGTTGCTTTCCCGCTCACATGGCCCCCTAAGCTCCGACGCTTGCAAAACCCACTGCGCAGATCCGAGCATGAGCATCATGAGCATCAGCTGGGTTGCTTTCCCGCTCCCATGGCCCCCGAAGCTCCAGACGCTTGCAAAACCCACCTCCCGAGTGACTGCGCAGATTTGAGGAGGCAGGAAGCGAGCATCATGAGCATCAGCTGGGTTGCTTTCCGCTCCCATGGCCCCCGAAGCTCCAGACGCTTGCAAAACCCACCTCCCGAGTGACTGCGCAGATTTGAGGAGGCAGGAAGCGAGCATCATGAGCATCAGCTGGGTTGCTTTCACGCTCCCATGGCCCCCGAAGCTCCAGACGCTTGCAAAACCCACCTCCCGAGTGACTGCGCAGATTTGAGGAGGCAGGAAGCGAGCATCATGAGCATCAGCTGGGTTGCTTTCCCGCTCACATGGCCCCCTAAGCTCCAGACGCTTGCAAAACCCACCTCCCGAGTGACTGCGCAGATTTGAGGAGGCAGGAAGCGAGCATCATGAGCATCAGCTGGGTTGCTTCCCTAAGCTCCAGACGCTTGCAAAACCCGCCTCCCACCTCCCGAGTGACTGCGCAGATTTGAGGAGGCAGGAAGCGAGCATCATGAGCATCAGCTGGGTTGCTTTCCCGCTCACATGGCCCCCTAGGCTCCAGACGCTTGCAAAACCCACCTCCCGAGTGACTGCGCAGATTTGAGGAGGCAGGAAGCGAGCATCATGAGCATCAGCTGGGTTGCTTTCCCGCTCACATGGCCCCCGAAGCTCCAGACGCTTGCAAAACCCACCTCCCGAGTGACTGCGCAGATTTGAGGAGGCAGGAAGCGAGCATCATGAGCATCAGCTGGGTTGCTTTCACGCTCGCATGGCCCCCGAAGCTCCAGACGCTTGCAAAACCATTGCATGCGATTTGTCATGGCGTTGGGCTGAGGTTGGAGCCAGCCAAGGCCTACCTGGCTCTGGCCTCGGCTTTCAAAAAGAGCAGAGTCGCAGGTCACCGCGTGCCACGTGTGGCTTTGCCCATATCTGCCCATATCTGAGAAGCTTTTTGACTCAGGTCCCGCGGCTCTGTGGGGCTCCGGGCTTGCTGACGCTGATCGTTTTGCAGGCTGCGCTGTCGGGGGCCTTCCGTGACACCTCAGCAGTGCTTCGCTTGGTCCTCCTGGGCGCCGGCCTCAACGCGCTGCTCACCCCGCTCGGCGTCGCCACCCTCCACGGGGGCACCGCTGGGCGCCCTGGCTCTTCAGCTCCACGCAGGTCCTGCATTCCGCCTTGATTCCGCCGTCATGAGTCACGAGCAGTCACACAGTCTCATGTCTGTCACGTTCTCAGCATGTGTGCACCATGAAATTTCGTGCGCCGAGGGCTGCGTGGGCAACGACCGCAGCCTGCTACGCGTCCGCCGTCGCCGCCTGGGTCCTGGTGGCCCGCCGGCCGTCCAGCGGAAAGCCGTGGCTGCCTCCTCCAGGGCAGGTCTTCGCAGTGGCATTCCTTGGGAAGCCCAGCCCCAACCAGAGCGCCAGCAGTCGGAAGAATTGGATGGCTTTGCTGAAGGCAAATGCCGCCATGTCTGTGCGAACCTTCTCGTCGCTCACAACATGGCTCGTAGCATGTGCCATTATCACAAAGATTGGGGTGGCAGCTTTGGCTACAATTGCCCGGCTAGGCATTGTCTTGGAGTTGGGTGAGTTGGAGTCCATGTGCTGCTTGCATCCTGCCAGTTTTCCAAGCAGGCTGTTTCTTCCTTCGCTTCTCTTTGTCACCTGAGGCACCTTTGGCTGCGCACACCTGCATGACAAAAACGTTTCTGATGCTGCTCTACTTGTTGTATGGCTTCCAGCTGTCGGCACAAGTCCTGGTCAGCGCCGATGTTGTCCGTGGCGACCCGCGGCGTGCCCGCAACACGGCAGTCCACGCAATCCGCCTCGGAATGGTGGTGGCGAGCTTTGCAGCCCTGAGCCTTTGGAGGGGGCATGATTTCATTGCGAGCGTGTTGGTCAGAGATGAGACGGTGACTGCAGCTTTTGCCACCTTGGTCCCACCGGCCATGGCCATGCTGCTCATCTACGGCGTGATGTGGGTCGCCGATGGAGTCCTGTATGGTCTTGGTGAGTATATTTGGACTGCAAAGTGCACCTCCTATGCCGGTGCTGCTGCAGTGGCCGTCATGCTTCTGCTTGCCCACCGAAATATCACTGCCGCCCAAGTCTGGTGGAGCCTGAACATCATGATGGCGATCCGAGCCGTTTTTGGAGTCCGAAAGGTCTTCTTCAGTTCCAGCTCTCCGCTGTCTAGGCGCTCGCTGCAACTGGTCCCCGCCGGCGTTGTCGAACCCGACAAGCCTGAATGATGGGCAAAGCCTCTCAAAGATCAAGCCCTAGCCTTCTCAAGCAAAAGCACACTGCGCTGGCAAATTTGGTACCGGGTACGCCAGGCCCAGAACACCAAAGCTGCTGTTGCTGTTGTCCTTGTCTGCAGGGCCAGACGCCAGATGCCCTCTTCGATGCCCTGGCCGCAGCCCTGGAGACCTGCCAGTCGTAGGAGTACCGGCGCTAGCGAGTGAGTAAGACTCGCATGGTGACCTCCAAACTCAAAGGGCCCCAAGCATCCCTAAAGCCCTGTTTCAAGCCGAGCATAACCTTGTCCTCACCAACCTTCAATGCCTAAACCATGTACTGGTACCCCAGAGTAACCCCGACATCCCTAAACATGTGGGCATACACCTTTCAGGATATGCTCGCGAGCCTAGAGGTACGCCCCTAAACCCTAAACCCTGATCCCTACATCCCATTGTCAGTCTGCGGGTCGGCAAGAAGTTCGCTGGCCCGACTTTCGGGACCTTTTCGCCCAGCTGGAGTTGGGCCCTTGGGGAGCCTCTTTATTGGTGAGGTGGTCTTCGCGGAAGCAAGTGTTTCCTACCCCCCTTGCACCACCATCCCTGAAGAACCCGAAAAGTAGAGCTTCGGGCGCAAAGACTTCACAGAAGACCTTCAATTCGCCTCGAAGGCACTTAGACCCCAAAATCCGAAACCCCAGGGAGGAACTTACTTGCTGGGTTTCAGAAGAACGTTTCTGAGTTCAGGAGGACTTCGAGGCCTTCACATGTTAAAACCCCGCCTGTTTGTCACGATTGCGGTGACAGTCTCTGAGCTCCTGTAATCCAGACATGTACCAGACACGTATTCAGGACACCGTGAGGACACAACATAAAGTATGTTTCGTTATATGGCTCACGCACGTTACAACATGATATGGTAATACTGCAAGACGATGCTGTACGCTTTGGTTTAATAACAGTATCAGCAACAACCCGTAGTTTTGATGCCCACCCGCATATTATATAGACATAAAAGTAAAGGACAATTACTTAATCAAATAAATATCACATGTCTCTGTATATGACAATAAATAAACAGAGAAAATAAAAGTAAACATCTAAATATAAACATATGTATATGTTGTTTGTATATGTATATTATATATATGTATATATATATAATGTATATGTGCATCGGCAAATATCAAATAACGAAATACGCAAACAAATACATACATGAATTTCTGTGTATGTACATATATATGTGTATATATATATATATATTGAGTATCCAAGTGTCTATGTATATGTGTGTGTGTGTGTGTATATGTATATGTATATGTATGTGTATGTGTATGTGTATGTGTATGTGTATGTGTATGTGGATATGTGTGTATGTATGTATGTATGTATGTATGTATGTATGTATGTATGTATGTATGTATGTATGTATGTATGTATGTATGTATGTATGTATGTATGTATGTATGTATGTATGTATGTATGTATACATACGTGTACAGCTGCATACATCTACACACAAGCTCCTCGAAATTCGTATGTATATACATGTTCGTCCTAAAGCGCCTAAGCTGCTGGCGAGGCCCTCGCTGGGAGAGGATCAGCTGCAGCGGCCCGGGACCCGGAGCACCTGGACAGCCCAATAAATACCCCTTACTTAAGGAGCATTCCTTAGATCATACCCCTAAATGCTAAAACCCGATGCCCCTGCGAAAACTCCTTAAGTTCTGGTAGGGATCATGGATCCCTAACGTAACTTAAGTAAGTATTCTCTAGTGAAGGGGTCTTGGGTTGTGCCATCCGTGGTCTCAGAAAAGGGGTTAGGGTTTTGGGGTAAGAGTTTAGAGTTTCGGGTGTTGGGTATAAGGTTTTGCGGGCTTAGGGTGGGTTGTTTTACACTACGGTCCCTGAAGATTGAAAGGACCCTCAGCCCTAAACCCCCAAAATGCCCCAAACTCCAAAGCTATTGGGCTTCCTCATAGACGGACCCCCCAAAGTTTGGAACCCGAGTTTTGAACTTCTTTCGTGTTCGGGGTTCGAAGTTTGCGTTTGGGAATCTAAGGGTTTCGAGTTGAGGGGTGTTTGGGGTTTGCAGGTGTAAGGCTCAGGCACCACTAAAAGGTGGACATTGTATGAAGAAGGAGACACTTGGACACTTTCTGCCTTGTCGACTTGTCGAAGACGGACGTGGCCATGAGCAATACCATGAGCGCAACGGGATCGGCAGGCGTTGCTAAGTACACGCCGGAAAGGCGCCTCACTGATGTGCAGAAAATCTACTGCCGTTCGAGACGTACTCGGTAGGCCGAATGCCGATGGCCAGTACCTTTTCAACCTGTGTTTACAGTTTGGCCTTGACAACACGGCGCTCGCGCTGCTTGAGCACGGGGTTGAGGGATGCCGGCTTGAATGGAAAGACCTCGACCGCTTTGCTCGGAAATCCTGGTCTTGGGGACACTACGGCTATGTCCGCTGTGCCTGCCCAAGCGGAAGTTGGCAAACTTGCGATGGCTGCTCTTGGGGCTTCGGCAGAGAGAATGATGTCTGGATGCCCGACTGGGATGAATCCTTGGAAGATGCCAAGGCCACTGCCCTAGATGTAGCGGAGATGCCCTTCACCGAAGCCCTGCTCACAGCTATCCGGTCGGACAACTGCCTTCCCGGCTTGGAGGTCGCGGACGAAGTTTGGGCACGCTTGCTGGACATCGCTGTCCTTCTGGGCGACAAAGACCTGGCCTCGCAATGTGCCCCGCGCTGCCCATGGACACTCCAGTGCACAGTAGCAGCTACGCTGTGTAGGGTCTGCACAAAAGGGTTCCCGGAGACTCCAATACCCCTTCATTAAGGAAGACTCCTTAAACCATATAGTACGTAAGGGACCCTCTTGTATTTTAAGGAATATTCCTTAAGTAACGCGTATTGGAGTCCCTGGGCAAGGCTTTGGACCACTTTCGATGCCAATGCCGACGGCGGCATTTCTCGGGAGGACGGTCGGCGAGTGGTCCGCTTAAGCAGCTGTACATGGTGAGCAGGATTGAACAGGTGTAGCCGCTTGCGGAGTGATTCTAAGAGCCCTGCAAGAGTCTCAGAGATCGGAGCTACATGCGCAGGAGTTCAAGAAGCAGCTTGCGCAGGTTGAGGCAGGGCGCCACTAGCTCAAGAGAGGTTGCGAATGCTGGACATCTCGACATCTCACTCTCCCTGTGGAGGCGTCAGCAAAGCCCAGCACCACCAAGGTGGATGTATCGGAGGCAGATCTGCTTGTGTGCGACTGTGTGCAGCACACCCCTCCGCCCCCCGAATCAACCGCGGCCTCAACGCTGTCTCGATTCATGGCTTCCAGCAGGAGCGTGTAGCTATATTGTAGCTGTTCATGCGAGCGCACGCTCGCGATCCCAAGCGTGCCATTTTCGTCATCTTCGCACTTGCAGATCTTGCACTAGCCGTTTTCCTCACTGACACAGTGGGCTTTGCCATGGACCCGCTTTTCCGGTCCGTGGCTCTGAGCTCCCGGCGCCTCTCGAGCTTGGCTGAGCTGGGAGCCGAAGCAGCCGCCGCCCTGAAGGGGTCGAAGCAGAACGTCACCATCTTCGAGAGCACCACGGCAGGGCTGATTCAAGCGGCCCTTCAGTCGGTGCCTGGGGCATCTTCCTACACCACGTGCGGTGCCGTGACCTACGGCAAGGACAAGGCCCAAGCGGTCTTGGGAGCCGTGGATCTGGGAGTCCCGAGGCCCACCGATGGGGCATCTTACAAGGACTCCAAGAGGCAGTGGACACAGCGACTGGCGAGATACAAGCGCCAAGAAGTTGGTGCGACCTGGTGCATCTGCGAGAGCGGAGCCTGCGGCCCAACCTTTACATTTCCCGACGTTACCCAAGGCTTCACGGCCATCTTTGTGTCAGGCCCTGTTGAGAAGGGTTTGTTTGTCGAGTCAGAGACGAACGAGCGGGAAGACAACATGTGGGGTTTCACGAAGCTCGCCTTGGATCTTCTTGCGGAGTGTATTGAGGAGAGCAGGGGTGTGGCGACAGTGGCTTCAAAGCAAGTCTTGGTGGCCAAAGAAGATCGTTATGGAGGCGTTGAGGCAGAGGTGTCAGGCTCCAACAGCGACTGCAGCAACTTCGCGGTCGAGTTACGCCAGTACCTTCAAGCCTGGACTGCAGCTGGAAAGAAGGGTATTTGGCTCAAGGTTCCACTTGCTGCTGCTGCGTGCGTCGGCCCTGCTGTGGCGCAGGGATTCGAGTTTCACCACGCCAAAGCTGAATATCTGCTGTTGACACGCTGGCTCAGTGAGGAGCCAAACACATTGCCTAAGTATAGCTTTACTCAGGTAGGTGTCGGAGGAGTTGTCCTAAACAGCAAGGGGGAGGTCTTGATGGTGCAGGAGAGGATCTCTCCGCTACCACAGTTTCAGGGAAGCTGGAAGCTACCGGGTGGGCTGGCGGACCCCGGTGAGGACTTTGCAGAGACGGCCGCGAGGGAAGTGCAGGAGGAGACGGGGGTCACTGGCTCGTTGCTGGGCTTGGTGAGTTTACGCCACAGCCACGGATATCGCTTCGGGCAGGATGACATCTACGTGGTTGTCAAGCTGCAGGCGCTCGAGGAAACCATTCGCATCGACCCGCATGAGCTTAGCGATGCGCAATGGATGAGCATGGATCGCATCCAGTCCTTAGTTGCCGAGCCGGGGCAGTCATGGGATGGTAAGGTATCAGAGAACACTTGGCAGGTCATTTCGAACGCGCTTTCAGGCGCAGCGATCGAGGGTTCCGCCCTGCCGAACTCCAGGGGCGGCAAGATGTCCATGCTTTACACGGCTCCGAAGCCAGGATAGGTTGAAGATCAAGCAGCTGAGCTTCCATAAAACCGCTGCGAAGCTCCAATAACTTGTTGGATGCTTTAGCGCGTTGTGGTGTCAGGCAAGCAGCTGCAACAAAACGGGCGTTTGCACTGCGTTTGACAGCCGCGTGAAGCACGTGGGTGCCATCTTCCATGTGTTAGCAGAGTCCTCCCTGCAAGGAAGTCTGCTCCATGGTCACGGCCATGCTGCGCAGGGAAGGCAAGACTCAGGACCGTCCACAGACTGCACGCCTGTAGCTTGAGTTGCCAGCTGCTCTGGGCTTGGAGAGCGTCTGAGTGTGAGCGAGTGAGCGACTGCATGGGTAAGCGAGAGGGTGTTTTTGAGAAGTTGTGAGTGCGCTGTGCGCTGCTGAGCGTTCACGAATCAGTCATAAAAGAGTGAGCGAACGGACGAGAGCAAGGAAGAGCCGTTTCGTGAGGGGACTGAGTGCCGTAGGGCAGACGTTTACTGTGAGACATCGGCGCACGTCGCATCTCGGATCGCATCCACCCCTCCATGCAACACAGAGACGAGAGACTCGTTGCGCTGCCAGATCTGTCGTGACATGACGGCACTCAGTCGTGCGGTCACTGATGAGTCGTTGCTGAATCGCTCAGCCGCTCGCTCTATCATTCCTCCCCCTCCCTGCCCCTCCCTCACACGTACACGTACACATACACGTACACGTACGCGTACACGTACGCGTACACGTACACACACCCACACACACACACACACACACACACGCGCCCCTCATCATGAATGTGTTCATGACTCCAGTTACCCTTCCTAGTACTGCTTCTGCTACGGATCTGCACCATGACTCACTTACCTTCACCTTGGCTTGGTGCCAAGTGGCACATGTGCTGTCGCGTGGAGAATGGAGCATCCCGTGCAGGATCAGCTGTTCGATGCCTTGGTTGTGTGCCCAGCGGTTCTTTCGGCTACATGAGCTGCCATGCACTCGTTGATGTCTGGTCCGCGGTTCCATGACCATGAGGCCAATGGACGCCAAGACGTTACGTGGTCCGATTTCCACGCTCTCTTTGCGCAGCTGGTGCCTGATTTGGGAGTCAGCGGCTCGGAGGTTATGGGGTGTCAGGTGCCGTCAAGTGCCACTGAGCATAAGTACGTCTAGAGCGTCCAAGAACCGAAAGATCGTAACAACCAGACCCGTGACACAAGCCTTGGCGTGAGCGAGCCCAGGAGAATCAGCTAAAAGAGCTGTGGCAACATTTCGACAAGAATGGGGCGGACGGCTCAGGGCACACCACTACATGCGCGTGTCTCGCTGGTCTGAGCACTGCGCATCCTTCTGGCATGTCTGAGGATGGAGGGGTCTCCCGAGAAGAGTTCAAGCATGCACTTGGCGCAGTCAGCAGATCCGCAGAAGACGTGGCACAAGCGCCTTTGCCCGCACAACATTTGTTGAGGTTGGGGTAAGCTCCTTCCGCTACGCTGCTAATGTCGCCTTGAAGCCTCAGGACGTCTGCTCTCGCGTGATGGCGGCACTTGTTCGCGAAGGGAAGTGGACTCTGCCTGGCTTGTGTTGCTATTCTCCTTCTTCTTCTTCTTATTATTATCATTAGTATTATTGTTTTTGTCATTTCTATTATCATTAGTATCATTATTACGATTATCATTATTAGTGTTCTGTCTTCAGAGTGTCTCAAAATGCTCACGGGGAGCTTCACGGGAAAGCTTCTGATTGCAGGTCCGTCGCGCAGTTGTTTGACGCACTCTCCGGGTCGAGGAGCGCATGGGTGGCAACGGCACAGCGCCAAAGCTCTTACTATCATTATCATTACTACATTTATTGTTATTATATTATGATTGTCAGTATTATGGAGTGGGGGGCGTCCTCACCTCTGAACGCCGGACCAGGAATACGGTGCAGTCCGCCGACTTTGCGGAGTTCTTCCGGTCGCTCGAGCCGGATGCTTATTGCTGGTCAGCTCTAGGGTTTAGGGTTTTTAGTATATGTATAGGGTTTAGGGCACAACAAGGAACAGCGAAGTCACAGTCTTACCTGGATCTTGATCCCCTTCAACCCAGAGAGACCCTACACTCCACACACTGTGAACCGCTCTGATCCGACCGAGGCCTAGCCTCACACAGAAGCAGCTGGAGCTCCTCTGGCGCACTTTTGACAAGGCAGTGTCCAGGGTTCACGGCTCCGATGTCGGGTTTACGGCAAAACCCTCAGACCCCAAGCTCTGGATCTTTCCCGTCGTGCAGAGTTCCCTCCAGACTGATTCGGCCTTGTGGGTGGTCAGTCCTGTTGCAACCGCATGTCCCAACTCCCGGAGCCTCTCAGAACCTCCGACAACGACCCTAAGCAGGTCTTTTCATACAGCCTGTGCGGCAATCCCGTTCACAAGCCTCTTCCCCCTGGTTCTTAGTAGGGAATGAGGGAATGAGAGCCCTACATAGTCCCTTAAAGAGTATATATACACCCCTCATTCCCTCATTCCCTACTAAGAACCAGCCAGTCTTGCGATCGGGAGGACGGCGACGGCAGCGTCACGCGCGAGGAGTTCCAGCTGGGCTTGCAGCCGGGGTTCCGGGCCGAGCTTTGCCAAGACTTTCACCGCACTTTTTTGGGGGTTCCCAGAATAGGGTCCTGTTCGGGGCTACCTACCATCACTATTGTATAGTCACCCAGTAAGTGCCATAACTTCAAGCAAAGCATCAAACCAGGAAACAAGAGCAGAACATGTGGCCAAGGACGCTCCAGCGTGAGGAGCAGCAGGACGGGATGGCTTTCGGATGTAGCCCCGTCCAACCCCGGGCAAGCCCTGTGTAAGCTTATGTAAGCTTCAGGTCACTACACCACGGTCTGCATGTACTCAACAAACCTGCATATTCAAGATGTTGACCAGTTAACCCGTAGAAGCGGGATTGAAGGATCTCATAGTCTGATCGCTGATTGGAGGCGCCGCAGATTTGTGTACGCATCGCGCCAGGGCCTGAGATTTCATTGTGTCAGCGAAGACGAACGCGTGTCTACACCCCAAAGTCCATAAACACGCAGGTCTGCTCTTTTCCGGCAGGGTGTGGCCGTGCAGCAGCTCTTTCAAGCGCTGGCAGGGCCGAAGGAGATTTGAAAGGGGTGCAACCTGGTCCACTTTTGCTGTATCGTCGGTTGTCGGTTTTTTTAAAACACCATATTGCTTGACGGTACTTCGCACCTTGATGCAGGAGATGGTGGTGTGGGCCGACTTCCGCACCCGCTTCCAGCAGCTGGAGCTGTATGCTCAGCTTATGGCGATCGGTTCTCCTCGCCATGCTGTAGGGAAACCTTGTAGCAACGTCCCATTGCTGGATCCCGGCAGCCTTTTACACACCGGAATCTTTCAGCAAGTGATGGCGTCCAAAACAGGAAGAAGTCCGGAATGACGAGTTGCGGAAGCGAGATGATGATGTATGCTGCCATGGCGTGACAAGGCCGTCTCTTGAGGAGCGCGACCTGCAGGCCTTATGGAAGAGCTTCGACAAGGCCCAAAGCCGCGGATCATCCACACGGCAGCCTTCTGGTAACATTCTGCATGGCAGTAGCGGGCCCATTCTCAGGGCTCTCCCTTGGCAAGCCATGCATTGATGAAAATGGTGGCGAGTTGCTGGCAGGATGGTGATGGCAGCATCACCAAAGAGGAGTCGCGGACTAAGCTGTGTTTGCAGCGTGCAGTGAGCACTGGCCAGCGCTGCAAACCGTAACCCGAAAGCCCGCATCAGCCTGGCTTCCCCGGCCCGGTTCTGCAGCAAACTGACAGTCGGCGGAGGCTTTAGGGCCTCCACTGCTGCAAGGATAGCTATATCTGGTGCTCCTTTGTGCCTAGAGGTTTTTGACAGTTTTGGTTTGGGCCCTCACCGGCGCTAGGGATGTTTGGCACGTGTGCAGAGCCGATTCCATGTCTTGGGGTACTTGGTGCTGCAAACATCTGCGAAGAAAGGTTTAACAGGTAGGGTTCAGGTGTGAGGAAGGCGGCTCAAAAGCTCTTTCCACATTGCTGTGTGAGGGCTTGAAAACAGGTTGAACTCTAGAGATGTCTGAGAGTAGTTGCGTTGCATGGATAGAGAGCTACTGACGACCTACTGAATTGCGGTGTAGATGGATCAGATGGCATAGGCTGTATCCGTACGCCCGCAAAAGCTCTTTGCACATCTTGGCGGAGCTCCTGGGCCTGGACTTGGGGCTTGGGAACGACGAAGGGTGACGCACAAGCGCAAATTTGCAATTCTCCACAAGGATCGGGCTGCACATCGATTTGTGTCGCCTAGCCTGTCCGAGGTTCTTCCTGGCACTGGAACCTGCGACCCGGCTGGTCATGGCCAAGATGTCCGATGTGATCGCCAGACTTGCGCACGACACTGAGCTCTCAAGATCTTTTACGTCGCCCAAAGCCTGGGGTGTTGCAGGGGAAAGAGTCAAGCCGCCTCGAATCGCTCAAGGCTTGCCCTGCAACGAGAGGGCCAGAGCGTGGATCAGCTCTTCACAGCCTTGGCCACCGAACAGGCGTTGCCAAGGGTGCAGTGTGACGGCAGGTGGGTCTACGCAGCTGAATCCACAAACAGCTCTCCAAAAAACTGAATTCTTGTTGCAGCCTCTGTTGCGCGTCAAAGAACTGCAGTGCTGCAGGGAACGGTGTCATGGACAGCTTTCTGCTCGATGTTCCAGCAATGGGAGCCTCATTCTCAGTTTGACGCGCAGTCCAGCCGACGATGATCTCCAATCCACTCCAATCCCATTGCGCTGAATGCAGGCCTTCACTCACCGAGAACGACTTGCAGGGCCTCTGGCGAAGCTTTGACAAGGACTTGTAGTTTCCTGGCTACCCCAACGCCTCCCACCGGACCGGTCCTTTCTTGGTGTTGCTTTGGGTAGGATGGTGATGGAAGCGTTTCAAGAGAAGAGCCACGGCCTCAGCCCCCAAAGCGTGGGCATCGGAGCATGTTTTGACGCTTTCACGCACCTGCCTTTGCCGGCTGACGAACTTCGCATCAGCAAAGAGCTGTGCTGAGAATTCGGGTGCTTCCAGGTTTCTCGGAGCGCTCAAGCCGACCACGGAAGCTGCCCAAGCTCAAAGCGAGGAGGTTTGCCGGCGGGTGGCGTCGGAAGCTGAGTGCCACTGCTTGATTCCTACAGTGGGGCCAGCAGGGTTCTATTTTTTGAAGAATGAAAATTTCCGAACAGAACGCATTTTCGCAACGAGGAAAAGCTTATGCACCGTGAGCCCACCGAAGCCTACAGCATCTAGGATGCATGCACACATATTGTTGGGCCGGTCGCTGTACAACCGAAATCAGACATAGCACAACTCCCTCTGCCACAAAAGCATACCCAGATGTTGGAGAAATCCCACATGAACCAACAATGCTCACGAACCCAAGTTTTGGATCCCAAAATACTTCCATTCGAATACTGCGGTCACGAACGCCCTTGGCTTCTGCGACAGCCTTCTCTGTGGCCAGTATCGAAGTGGCAGCCCGGCCTCAGTTGCTGCATCATGCGGGAGCTCGCCCGCAACGACCACTCAGCTTCACATGAAGTATTCCGTCAGCACATTTCCATAGTTGCAGCACGAATCCATAAGCATTCGAAAGCAACGCCACGCGGATATGTGCGTGCAGGGAGTGAAGGACTCTGCCTGCCTCCAAACCCTAATAACGCACCAAACTTTTCAAGTTCTACTGAAATGTCCAGGCTGTGTTACAGTGTTGATATTGTAGATAAAAATTTGAGAAGCCGTTGTGCAAAGCAAAGTGGCTCGAAGAGAAGCAGCCGTGCGCGGCGGATGTCATCACTAAGGTCCATGCTGTTCCAGAACGGCAAGAGCGTTATCCAGCTCTTTGATGCTCTGGCTTGTGGGAAGGCTCAGCGCAAGGATAGCAAGTTTGCATGTGCACTTTCTGAAAATGCCTTGCCAGGCTGTGGTTGCCTTTGAAGACTTCCGCTCGCTTTTCCAGCAGCTGGAGTGCCTTGCTTAGCACCCCTTGACAGAACATGGCAGAGGCCAGCAGTTCAAGTAACGCACCCATGACTTTTTGCCGTCGTGCCATCAAGGCCTTCTTTGACCCTGCAAGACATTCAGATCCTGTGGCGGGCGTTTGACAAGGCAGGGCCCCAAGCATTGGCCTGATATTGGGAGCTCCCTGATGCCCGTGACTATGCAGGACGGCGACGGTGGCGTCACAAAACAAGAGCCGGGCCCTTACCAGCCAGGAAATCAAAACCTTTGCAAAGCAGCGTGAGCACAGATGCCCAAGTTCCCAGTCTTTCGAGCATTGGCCACACACGCTTTAGAACTCTCCAAGCCCTATAGTCAGCCTGCAGTGTAGATTCTCCTTTGAAGCCTGAGCCCTGCTGACGTGAGGTTCATCAAAGCCATGGAGCCCTCGGCAACGATGGTCGTGAAAAAGGCCGCAGAGGTTTGCTCGCGAGTCGGGCCGGAAGCTTGGACCACCGATGAGGCAGTGCTGCAATGTTCTTGAACACGCTTCTTCACGCCATGCGCCAACATGCATTAGGCAGCTTCTGCGAAGAGAAGGAACGACCTTGGACCAGCTGTTCGACAGCTTGGCTGATGGCGAGGCCCTGCTGAGGGAGTGGACTGAGTGGATGATGCAACCGGACGCCAGACCGGCAGAAAACCCGGAGACCGCATGCAGGTGATGACCTGGGACTCCTTCTGCTCCTTCTTTCACACCCTGGAGAGCCGAGCTTAGTATGAAGGAGTGTGACGGGCCGAGTCTCCCCCTCCCCTGAAATCATCTTTAAAAGAAGTGTAGTAGCACCTGGTATAGTGGTTTGCTTCAAACAGCCCCACCTTGCAGTGGCAATGAGGGATACCTCGCCGCAGGCTTTTGTCGCAGAACTCTCCGCGGATTTCTCCGTAACTGGGGCGGTGCTCATCGGTACTCCTTGAGGATTGTCTGGGGGTGGGAGCTCCGAGGATGCTCGGCCATCGGGATACTCGAAAAGGATTCTTTGTGGGCTTCTGCGGGGGCACTCCAGGGACAACTCGGGGGCTTCTTTGGGCACTCTCTGCGGCTTCACTGAGTGGGCAATTCAGGGACACTCGGCGGGACTGTGTGGGGTCGGGGGTGCGACAAACTCGATACGAGCCTTGCCAACGTTCGACCCACCGGGCACGGAGTGTACTGCGGAGTCTGCCGAGGCAAGCGGCTGAGCTCTTGCCCTCGAAAGCTTGGGGTGCGATTTTCTTACGCATCATGACAGGCCCCACCGCCATGTGCACCACCCTGCCATCTACCCTCGTAAGCGAGGGGCGATTTGCTTATGCACCATGACGGGCCCCGTGGGGAGCTATGCCTTTAAAGCCCCTTGCCTTTGCCGGGGGAGGGTTAGTTGAGGCTGCGAGGGTTCTGGAGTGTTTTAGTTGAGTTGTTTATGAGGTCAAAGTCGCACTGAGGCCGTCGCTGTCAGAGGTTGACCTGCATGGGTTGTGGTACACCTTCGACAAGGCTTGGCCTGACTGAGAGCTCCATTTTTTGTGACCTTTTGTTGCTTGCTGAGAGGATGGCGATGGAAGCGTTACGCGACAGGAGTGTGCTCCTCAAAGGAGTTTGGGCAGATGACCCCAAGCTGGCTGGATTTGGCTCGTGAGCAAGTCTCTCCTCTTTTCTTCAGGTTTGTCCAGGCATTGGCGCCCACGATGCAGGCCGAGCAATGTGGTGTCGGAGCTGCCTGACAAATTGTCGAGCGTTCAAGTCAAGCCAGGGCGGCGCTCCGACAGAGCCAAAGGCGCGCGAACAGAGAGGTTTGAAAGTTTTGGCCCCCTGGGCGGCTTCCTGGGTATCCTTGGCAGGGAGCACCAGCCGCAGCCTCGGACTTGTCGGCCGCGCTTTGGGCTGCCATGTCAGAGGCGGGATGCGCCTCTCTGCGCAGCTCTCTGCACCTGGCCCTTGTCTCTTTCTTGTGCTGCTAGGTGGCGGCCCTCCGCGCATCCGGCGTGTAGAGGGCTCAGATCGAGTTGCGCCGAAGAAGCACAGAGTCGAACTGAGTCACAAACTCGGCACGGCTGAGCTGTGCTGTGCAAAGGCCCAGGGGCAGCCCGGCTTTGCACCAGGCAGTGCGGCAGCAACTTGCAGCCTTCGACAGCATGCTCTGCTCCGAGACTCCGAGCGCGCGTTGACGTGTTGTTGTTAAACTTCGCAGCTGCGCTTTTGTCCCAGACGTCTGAGGCAGTCCGGCTTTCTGGATGCTGAGGCTTTTGCCAAGGCGCTGTGTCGCACTGGCTCGGCATCAATGAGAAGCATGGCGAAGCTATGCGAAGCTTCTTGAAGTCTAGGCATTGCGCTCTTACAGCCCAGCATTGCCGGATATGGCCGTGGAGGCTTGGCCAAGCAGCCAGGGTTTAGGGTTTAGGGTTTTCGGGTTTGGGGTTTAGGGACAACCCGAGTGAGAAGCAGGTCAGATCCTGTCTACAGTGGATTGTGCAGGTGTTGCGGCAGCAAGTTTGTGAAGCTGATGGGAAGGTGCAGGTTGACAGACTGGCACATGCCTTGGCATGTTCCTCATGCGACAGCAGGGTGGTGGACGGAACGAAACAGCATCGTGCTGACTGCAAGGTGACCCAGATTCTCCAGCCTCCTGAGTGAGCCCGGCCAGTTGTTTCGTCACGATCCCTTTGGCCACTCCAGTAGGGCTCAGCACGTGACCTTCAGGCCTCCACCAGCAAGGTCCGCCCTCGCTAAGGCTCCCTCTGCCACGGAGGCGCGTTGCAGTCGGAATCACTCGGAGGGCATATCCTGACTGCGCAGACGCGCGACTCGCCTCGCGCCCAGGCTGGCGGACCGCTATGGAGCGCACTGCGCAGGCTCGTGTCTGGACTTTTTTTCGGACATGGCATTCGGGCAAAGGATGCTCCTGCTCCTGCTCCTGCTCCTGCTGCTGCTGCTGCTGCTGCTGCTGCTGCTGCTGCTGCTGCTGCTGCTGATGTCAGGATCAGACCAGCGCTGCATGAGCGCGGTCTGCGCTTGACTACGGCTTTCCAGTGCCAGCCTTGGTTTCGGTACCTGCTTTGGTGTGATTCATCCTGAAGAGACTTGACGATTCGTTGTGGATCCCGCAGCACTTCTTGCATCAAATCGCAACAGCTCGGCTTGGGAAGATGGGCCGAAGGCAGAGCTACCCGTTCCACATCAGAGGTTGACTTAAGCGGCGGGTGGGTTGTGTAAAAGGCGCACGGGCGCGCTGGCACTGCTTCTGGCAGTTGGGCTTTCAAGCCACTTGGCCTTCATCCCGAAGGCTGGGACATGCTGGGACTCGACTTGACTCTGGGACTGACTCGACCCGGTTCAGACTTCAGAAGGGTTGTCGGAGCTGTGGGCCCTTCAGGTGGCGAACGCCGCCACAGGCCTTGGGATCTGAGCACGCCTTTGATTTTCCTGTGCGTGCCCTGTGTGTGTCTCTGTGTGTGTGTGTGTGTCTGTCTGTCTGTCTGTCTGTCTGTCTGTCTGTCTGTCTGTCTGTTTGTTGCTGACAGACAGCTTGATGACTTGGGGCTGAAAGGCTTTTTCTCCGCTTGCCTGGCAGGAAGCCTCTTGGGACTGCTCGCTGCTCCGGCCGCGTGGGCTGTCACTGAGGGCTTCGAGGTGCCCTTTGCTTTGAGCCGTGTCTCTGCCCTCTGCAATCCATCGTGAGGACTACAATAAGCTCGCGGTCAAGGCCGCCAAGCCGATCGCTGAGGCACCCAAGCCCGCCGGGGACGGCCCATCCGATGCCATGCAGGTGATAGGCGCGGGGGACAAAACTTATTGGGCTGGAAAGAACAACTGCTACTGGGCAACGCGGATCGATTCGAGATTGGCAGGTGGCGCCGGAGCCCTCATTGTTGTTGCCCTCTTTGCCTTCGCAGCCGCCGTCTTCGTGCCCGCCTCAATGCCATGGAATCCTTACCAGGATTTCGGGTTTACCTCCTTTAGTGTGGGCCCCCCCCCCCTGAACAGTCGAGGCTGGATTTTGCCCTCTTTAATGGCCCACGGGATTTTATATGATTTCAATAGGGAGGAGTTTTAGATAGATTCAAAAGGGATCCATATGAATTTAAAAGGGATGAGGTTATATGAATTTAAAAGGGAGTCGCGCGAATCGAAAAGGGGTCCGGGATGAGTTTATATGAATTTAAAAGGGATCCATTGGCTTTTTCTAATTCGGAGCCTCCGGGCCGGGGCCTGGACATTAAAGAGCGTCCCGAATCAGTCCCATTATTGGGGGTCGGAGGGGGCCCCTTGTCGGATTAAACTAAACCAAGTCTTCAAATGGTTTCTTAAAGGGAATTAATGGTTTCGGGCCGGTTGGAGTGGATGAGGTCGGCCTTTAAAATCACAAGGCCCGGCTTTAAAATCATAAGGCCCGGCTTTAAGCCGGAGCCTCCGGGTCGAAACAAGCCCCAAACCCTTAAACAAAAATCCGGATTTCGGGAAGCCGTTTGTCTTTAAAGAGGGACTCCCAAACAGTCAGGGTGTCCTGAATAATTCAGCCAAATTGTCTTTAAAGAGGGGGCCGATACTAAAGCGGGTGCAACATTAGGTAGGGTTTAGGGTTTCTGCAGACATCCCCCAACGCGTATTCTACGGAGCCGGAAGTCGGAAGCGCCTGAGGCCGGCAAGCGAGACCCCAACGAGCGCGACGGAAAGCGCATTTGAAAGCGCATCTGAGCCGTGCAGGGGGTGTATGGTGTTCATGTCCAAGTGGGCTGAAGAGGCCCCGGTAGCAGAGGTCCCCCTGGTGATTTCTCACCCTCTCGGCCTCTGACCAGAGGTGTGCCAAGCAAAGCCGCCTGAAAGCCCCAGTGCGGACTGTTCATGCACGGTTCACCTGTGAGGTAGAGCGCCTGGATGCGCGCAAGAGGAGGAGTGGATTGTACAGCAGGTTTTCCGACCTGGGGAACTCAACAAATGAGCATCGCTTGCAAAACAGTCCAAGTTTGGAAGAAGTGGGCGGCATGAGGACTCCTGTTCCAGTGCCCTCCCGATATCTCCCGACGAGCTGAGGCGCTGGGTGCCAGCTTCCAGTTCTCGCCTGTCCAGAGACGCCTTGGGTTTGGGAGTTGTGGGGCCCCTGGCAGCAGTTGACCCTTGCCGTGGCCACTGCCGTGGCCACTGCCGTGGCCACTGCTGTGGCCATTGCTGGTGACTGCTGTGCTGCTACCTTCGCTCAGGCAGCGCTGGTGGGAAGTGACCTTTCGGAGCAACAGCTGCGAGAGCCTTGGAAGTCCGTCCTCTTGTCCTTGTGCTCGCAGATTGTTGCACATCCTGTAGGCGCGCGCTGCATGGCGCTATGTGCAGAAATCCAGAGGTGGGAGCGTCCATGGAGGTTGGATCCTTATGGCGCGCGTGTGCGAGGTTCTCTTGATTTTTCTTCTGTAGCTTGCGGTTTGCATTGAGGAGTTCATTGGAGCATTCAATGCTTGTGATGGCGACGGCTTCGATGCGTTTGGTCATGAGCTGTCCGCATCCCACTTGCCCTTCTTCGCGCGATTGTTAGGAGAAGTGTTTGTTTTTGAGTCTTGGCTGCTGTTGAGGAACACGTGACTTATCGACATATATATATATATATAGTATCGATATCGATCGAAATATGTTTCAAGCATAGCGTGCTTATTCTGGCTTCGTTTATGTCCCTGAAAAGTAAGCCAGATATGGGCATAGTGTATATGATGCCCTCACCTATTCAAGAAGGGTTCTCTATAAAAGGAGACTCCAAAAAGGGGCCTATACTGGTTAGATCCCTAAACCCTAAACCCTAAACTTAAACCCTAAACCCTAAACCCTAAACCCTAAACCCTAAACCCTAAACCCTAAACCCTAAACCCTAAACACTGGCCCTGTCGGATTGGTTCCAGCATGTTCCCAGAGCCTTAGGCTTCGCCGAGCTGCCCGGGCGCTTCTGCGCCGTGCGAAGGTTGGGGACCCTCCCCTTTAGGGATCGGGTTTAGGGTTTAGGGTTTAGGGTATGGGGTTTGGGGTTTAGGGTTTGGGGTTTGGGGTTTGGGGTTTAGGGTTTGGGGTTTGGGGTTTGGGGTCTAGGGTTTAGGGTTTAAGGGTCGCTTAAGGAACCTTAGCCAGAGTAAGCAATGGTACTGTTGAGTGCGGCACGCTTGCCGCTGAGCGACTTCCGCTTGCACACGTGCCTGGCATGTGGTCCACAGCAGCGACGGTTGCATAGATACCAACAAGCATAGATACCAAGTCAAGGCAGCAACTCCTTTGTGACAGCCTGCTATCCTCAGCCAGGCATCACGGATTTCCCAGAGCCTAAAAACCTCCGAAGCAAGAGCCATGGCGTCTCCAACTTCGGGTGGGTCTCAAACTGACCAGAGCTGGTCGTCCAAAACCAAGGATCTGCTCTGATTTTTGGCATTCTGCAAGTCTAAGTAAGCATGTCCACGTGTCCCTATAACCCTATAACCCTAAGGGTTTAGGGTTTAGGGTTTAGGGTTTAGGGTTTAGGGTTTAGGGTTTAGGGTTCCTTCAATGCTCGGAACATTGTGCAGCTGCAGTGAGACATGCAAGAATCCCATCGGCCATCATAGGCCATTTCAAGCCGACCGGTTCCTCAGCCTGGGGCCACAGGCCGTGAAAATTGAACGTAGGGACTCGAGCAAGCTGCGTTGAGGAGATCTTCCAGAAGTGGGACGTGCACGGCACCGGCGTCATCACACGGAAGCGGCTGCGCGAGCTCCTCTCCCAGGTGGCCGGCAAGGCCGTCACCGAAGAGGAGATCGAGCGATGCATCGCCGAGGCCCTTTCGGAAGAAATGTTTCAAAGTACGTCGCAAACGATCATCTAGCTGTGCCCCTTGTTACCATTTCTTGTGGACTGAAGAGCAGGGATGCCGAGAATCGGATTTGAGACCCAAGGCAGACAAGAACCACAACGGTCTGATAGAGTACAACGAGTTCATCGAGTGGCTTCAACAGCCCTGCGCTACAGTCCGCATGGGATCGCAAGGCCTGGAGTATTTCAGCCTGGAGGCAGCTGTAAGGCCCCTCTACGACGTCTATGACCAGAACGGGGACGGATTGGTGTCCATGGAGGAGCCCGAAGCCCGAATCCACCCTAAGGGTTTAGGGTTTAGGGTTAGGGTTTAGGGTTTAGGGTTTAAAGCCATCCTACGCCCTCTCGCATGCTTCTGAGGCTGAAAGGCGCCCCTTAAGCCCGCCGACACCGTCTGGGGGCTCGGGTGGAGATTGGGGGTTCAGGGTACATGGCGTCTGAGGGAAAAGGAGCGTGATTTCAGCTTGAGAAAGGGCCAACACCCAAAGATCCTGCAACCCGGTTTTGAAGGCTGAGGGACTTAGGGGTCCAGATACGATCCAACTGACAGCCTTGAAAAAAACCAAATTCAAACCCGGTGCCCTAAACCCTGTGCCGTAAACCCGAAACCCGAAACCCTGCACCCGAAACCCTAAACCCTAAACCCTAAACCCCAAACCCCAAACCCCATGGAGGAGTTTGTGCAGTGCCAGACCATCCTCCAGAATTGCCTCGGCCTCCGAAGCCAGACTGCAGCCCCTTTGGAGGACCAGTTCAATGAAGCAGCCCTAAACCCCAAACCCTAAACCCTAAAACCTAAACCCTAAACCCTAAACCCTAAACCCTAAACCCTAAACCCTAAACCCCAGAAGATGATAGCGTCAAGGGCCTAGGTCTAAGGATGTTTGGCACGATTAAGTAAGGGTCTTATCGGGGTTGAGGCTCAGCTTCTCAAGGCTCATGTAGGGGCTTCAAAAAGGTCTCGAGTGTCTTCGGAGGACCAGTTCAAGAAGCAACTTGGGAAGCCCGAGGGTTCGGCAAGCCTCAGCGTCTTCGACAACTCCCCCAAGCGCGTCTTTGGGCAGGCCGCGGTTCAAGAGTTCGGGGGCCCCCCCGTCGCGGACCGGTTTTTTGGGGTAAGGACGGAGATGAGCGAAGTTACGTATGAAAGGGATCCTAGTTTCGTACGACCCATAAGGCCCCTAAGCCCCCTAGGCCCCCTAAGCCCCTAAGCCTCTCGAGCCCCTAAAGCCTGAACCCTCAAACCCCAAGCCCAAAGGTGGACGCAGACAAGAGCAAGGGCATCACCTTTGAGGAGTTCCTGGAGTGGCAGCGCACGCGGCTGGTCGAAGCGCGGACGCCCAGCAAGGACCGCAGTGACTTGCTGAGGGTCTTTGGGGTTTAGGGTTTACGGGCTAGGTTTAGGGTTGAGGATTCACGATGCTTCGAACCTGCTTAGAACCACTTTTACTTAGGGTACTTAGAACCCTACTTGTAACTGCCCATGAACCTCCAAGTGTAGGTGTAGGTTTGAGGGTTCCAAGGGTTTTTTGAGGTTTCAGGACCTGGAGAAACCCCAAGAGCCAAAAGCCCCTACACTCTCGACTCCCCCCCAAGCAAGTATGCTGTAAAATGGGATCGTATATCAAAGGACTCCCCCCAAAGGGAGCTTGATTTGGAACAACCACGGGTATGCCGGAAGCAGCCGCCCTAAAGCACAAAATCCAGAAACCCGACTCAAGCTTCTGTTGCCGGCACGCGAAATTCATCAATTCACCTCAAACATGTGAACGAAACGGGGGCAAAACAATCTGGTCCCGGTTTGTGACTGGTGGGGAAACTGGAGGCTTCCTAGGGAAGACCTTTGAAGCCTTCGGCCGAGGCGAATTCGAAACAGCACTCATTCGTAACGATGTAACCGGTCAGTTCTCTAAATGAGGGTGCGACTCTTCACACAATCACAATCTACTAGTATTGGTTGTGATGTTCCCCCTTATACTAACAGTCCTTAATACTTATTTCCGCTATTCAGGACTGCTAGTATAAGGGGCAACATCCCACAGTGTTCGGCTATCCAGGGCACTAACTACAAGGGAACCGCGACATTGAAAGTCGCACCTGAAAAGGAGCTGGAGGAGCTACTGCCTGCCCTGGCACGTCAGCTGAAGCGCGTCTTCAGGTCTGGGCTGGGGGGGGGGGAGACAAAAAGGAGGCGCAAGACTGTGGCTTCGTAGAGGTTGAGGGTTTAGCGTTTAGAGTCCATGTACCCTTCCATGAATATCTGTATCTGTATCTGTATCTCTATCTATCTATCAATAATCATAAAACATAAGAGTCACAACAAGAATGAAGCCCCTAGTGTTAGCGTCGGACCGTTTCTTGGGGTTCATGTCGAAGGTTCGACGACTCCGCCGAGCAGGATGCCACGGGGGAATGCGACTCTAAGGTCCTTCAGAAGATTGTGGACAACCTCGCGCCCCGGCTCTTTCAGGGACTTTTGTTTGGGTTTTGGGAGGGCTTCGGAGGGTTTGGGGCAGTTTTTTGGGCCTGGCTCTTAAGGGGATGTTTAAGGTTTAGGAAGGTAGGAGGGTTTCGGCTTGTACTTAGGACTGTGCTGGCGGGGAAGCATGCGCCAAAAGATGCCCCCGCCTTCCCGGTTGCTTCCTGAAACAGGGTCCCCAAACCCAAGGGTACGTCTTCATTACCAGAGCTTGGCGCGCAGGCCAAGTTTTGCGTGGAGATCTGGTCCAAGAAGGAGGAGGATGAGACTAAGGCCAAAGACATCAAGGTCCTCATGGGAAAGGCCCGGTTCAGTCGCTTTATGACAGATGTCTATGCTGCATCATATGCCAACAAGCTGAAGTGCACGTCGTTTCGGGAGACCCGCCACTACACCAACCGGTGGACGGAGCCCCCCGTGGGATTGAATGTCAAGAAGCTCAAGGCAGGCATGCGTGTTGCTGTGTGTTGAGATGGGCCCTTGCTCGCACCTCTCGTCGTCCCAGCTGTCTCCATTTTCATTCCCGTGCCTCTGATTGCCATCATCTTCATGTCTTTTTGCAGATAAATACTTCCGCGAATGTTTCAGGTTTTTTTGAGTCGTCCGAACCCATACTGAAGCCCATCTCGTGCTTGCTGAGCCCCACCAGGTCCCCGAGAATTGCCTCAGGAAATGCTTCCAGGTTTACCAGCAAACACGAACACAGGACCGAGACAGGCAGACTTTAGATCCGCAGTGACACTCTTCCCACCAAGCCGACTACGATGATTCTTGAAGGCCTGAGTCGTATGTCTGGAAAGTTCCCTACTGCCCTAAACCCGACGGTAGACCCTAAACCCTAAGCCCTAAACCCTAAACCCTAAACCCTAAGCCCTAAGCCCTAAGCCCTAAGCCCTAAACCCTAAACCCTAAACCCTAAACCCCAAGACGACTCGCGGTGACCAGGCGAAGTTCCTTGCCACAGAGTCGTGCACGAAGGTCACGGAGAATATGGACCTAGATCTGATGGTCATTCCCATCCTTGCAGAAGGACACCTATTCAGGGTTTTCGGTTTATTTAGGGTTTAGGGTTTAGGGTTTAGGGCTCAGGGTTTAGGATTGGTTAAGGGTTAGGTCGCTCTCTCCACCTTTGGACTCCTGCTCTTGCTGTGAGGAGATGATGTAAACCCCCGCAGTCGTGTCTGGCTGGCCGCATTCTTAATGCCATGGTCTACGAATACCGATTTGCTGGCCTCGTGCACGCGAGTGTGCATGCACCCTAACCTCAATCCGGATAGCTAAAGCTCGTGTCTTTTGGTGTTAAGTGTGGGAGAACCGCTCGCTTGGACGTGGCGAGATCAGATGTTGCCACGTGAGGCTCAGATCATCCAGAAGGCCCGGGTACAACGCGGAGTTGATTGAAATGAGCTGTGCATGCTTAGATGTGCTCTGCCATAATATGTGTGGTTTCGTATATTATTACGGCAGATGACTGGTGACGAAAGTGGTATGTTTCATTCGTTGCGGTGTTGGGGGTGATAGTGGTGGCAGTTTGGAACCAAATTGGACACGCGAGCAGAAGCGAAGTGCGTCCTAAATGGCTGCATTCTACCTAAATGAGACCGAGAAGGCGAAGGTGTTTTTTTCTCAAGAAATAAGGCAATCATTGTACGTTGAGTTTTTTTTTGCCGTATTGCTGCGATGATGTACGAATAAGTTCACATCGTGATGACAGCTTGGAAGCTGCAACGCCTCGACATACCTGCTGTCAGTCTGAATGTTGGAGCTCCGGTCCACGTGGTTGGTGTTCGTGAGTATGAAGTGGCACAAACGTGTGGGGTTTTACGGGTGCAGCCTTTGGGGTACTTGTGCGAAGGGCCTGGATGTCTTGTCAATACCGCTGCCAGGTGACGATGAAGGACGGGAAGGTGCGAGAGGATGATCCGGTCCAGCGCTTGGTTCAGTGTGGGGGATCTTCGGAACTGATAGGACCGGGGGATATTGGGCATTCCTGTTCAAGCTCAGGCTAGCAGAGGCAATCAAGGGCAACTGCAGTAAGGCTATCTAAGGCAAGTGGTGTAGTTGCTTGCGAGATTTGCCCCTGTGGTGCTGCTCATGACTCATGCATGCGGTGTGGCCAAGGTCTACTACGAGTTTGAGTCTCTGTCCTGGCACAAGACCGATGACGCTGCTTCCTCGGCAGAACGCGCGACCACCCTGGTACCTGACCGCAGGATGCACCCGCTGAGCATTTAGGGTTTAGGGTTTAGGGTTTAGGGTTTAGGGTTTAGGGTTTAGGGTTTAGGGTTTAGGGTCTAGGGTTTAGGGTTTGGGGGCAAATTCTGGACCCAAGCGTGCAGACGTTGTTGGCAACAGGAGGCAACAGCATTTTGCAACCATCATCCACTGAGGCCATGTACAAGTTCCACACGGTCCGACCCTCAAGAAACCATTGCTGTCGTGTTTGGTTGGTCTCCGATGCCCCCCGAAACCATAATCCCCTACCTCTACAGGCCTATGAAGGTTTTACTGCCTAGGGTCTCTAGGGCCCTGAGAACCGCAGAGAGTCAGCCCTAAGCTTTACAAGCCTTGCGCAGAGGCCTTGGACGCCTTGCCACCCGAGCTTCGCATGTTCTCCCTCCTCAAGGCGCTCTCTTAGCTCTTGCTCGTATTTGTTTTGGGCTTTGATTCTAGGTGTATTGGTTTGTTGTAGCTCCCCTGTTGCTATTTTCGTAGCTCCGCGTCGGTCGGAACCCTAAACGCTGTAAAGCTTGAAATGTGAACCCACGCCTACCTCTGACTGCCAGGCGGAAGCCGACTTCGGCGCCAAAATTGCTTGGGAGCAAGTTGAGAAGGTCCTGAACAGGCGGGTTCTTTGGGGACTTGGAAGTTGCAGACTACGTGGGAGCATGGGTAATCCTTGCAGACGAAGGACGCAGAATACGGAATTGAAAGAGTCAGCTTTCACGTCCCAGTGCCTCGCTTCTCACCCCCCCCTCCCACAAGCTTCCCTCCGCAGGCCTGCCATTCTCTGCTTGGGAATTATTTTTGTTTTTGTTTGTATAAACCCAGGAGGATGTTAAGAATAGTATGTTTTTTGAGGTTCTAAGGGGAGTATAGTCCTGAGCATAGCAATGTCATGATGTCAGCCGTGCCAGGTGCCTTGGCCACGGGATCATGAACGCCACCCAGGTTGCCGAGTACAAGAACTCCATGGAGCTGCGTGTCATGAAGGCACTCAAGGAGGAGGAGCCTTTTTCATTCTTTAGCTTGGGATGTTACCCCCTTATACCAACAGTCCTGAATCGGGATTGTAGTACCCCCCCCTATGATACTCCCTAATCAGGGGCTGTTCGTAAAGGGGAGCATCCCAACCTTTAGCCTACGAGACTGGGCTCTCGAAGCCGGAGGTAGAGGAGGGCTGAGCACCAATTCCCTGTGAGGACTTGCTCTCGGGCTTGACGGCGGAGGAGTCACAGAAGAAGGTCCGCGACAACTTGATGGCCGTTTCCCAGAGGCCTGGCATCTTGAGCGCGGGCTTTTTGGCAGCGTCACCTTGTTGCGAATCGTGTGAGGCCCCAGGAAATCATGGCTGCTTGGCTGAGTTTGAGATTCACACATCGGCATGGCAGGTTGTTTGATTTGGAAGCCTTGGAAGATTCAGACGGCTCATGGGCCAGAGCTGCGCTACTTTGCATTAAGCATCCTGTGAGGATTGGTAGCTGCTTGTGCTTGTACAGCGGATGTGCATTCGTGAATGCCAAGGCGATGATGAGTGACTTGAAAGTCTTCAAAGTTAGTTCTGTTTGGGCAGATTTCATGACAGCCGACTGAGTACAGCTTCCTGAATTGCGCAAAAGCAAGGTATCATGCATGTCTTTGCTGTCTGCATCTTTGCGTACAAAAGGCCCAGCATCTCCATTCTTCTTGCCCGGCAGCAAAGACTTCAAACGGGGCATGAACAGCATGCCTTTGGAAATCCTTTGGCTCTCATACGATTTGCGGTGGACCGACAGGCGGACAGAGCCGAGGTGTCACTGCCCGTATCACTCTGAGACCTCTAGTGGCCTCCAGGCACCCCAGGAGTCAATGCTGCTCCCAGGGCTTGCCAGGGCCCGCTTCCAATTGGAATGGCCGGAAGAAGCTCTCTCAGCCGAAGGGCTGGGCCGAATTGCGGATGCCTTGGTTGATGTAAGCTGAGGGGGTGGTTCGATCTTGTGCCGGCTTGCGGTTTAGCAACCCCCTCCCAATTCCCCCCCACCCCCCCCACCCCCTCTCCTGGAGACTGCCTCAGGGCTCGCTGTCCGGGGCCTTCGCCACCTTGGACATCACAGGAGATGGTGAGGTGAGCCGAGCCCTGAGGCACTCTGGGGAACCCCAGGAGCACCAGCATGCTTGGGGTCTGGGGTTCAAGGTTTAGGGTTTAGGGAGGTTTAGGGTTTAGGGTTGAGGACGCGCCCGAAAACGCACCAAAAAGCTCCGCCCCAAAACACGCACCCCGAGCACCCTAAGACCCTACTCGTAAGACCCTGGTACCGCGGGTTGCCCAAAGGAGGGGGGGGGGGGTGGCAGATGCTGAGTCCTAAGCCCTAAACCCGAAACCCTAAACCCTAACCCTGAACCCTAAATCCTGAACCCTAAACCCTAAACCCTAAGCCCTAAACCCGAAACCCCGAAACCTTCTCTTCCCAAGGACTTCCGGGGTTTAGAGCCGCGCTGCTTCAGTTCGGCGCCAGGAGCCCAGGGCATGGACCTCGGGCCGTTTTCTCTTTGGGGTATATGTTATGCTTACGCAGGGGTAGTTTTTGCGTGTATGTATGTATGTATGTATGTATGTATGTATGTATGTATGTATGTATGTATGTATGTATGTATGTATGTATGTATGTAGATGCAAATGCGTACAACAGGTTGTTTCCGTTTGAGTACTCGTAGGGTGTTCGGGCTTGGGGTCGGAGAACCATTGGGTTGTCCCAGATGGTCCTGAGGACTTGAACCTCACCGATGAGCAGCTCCACAAGCTCTGGAAGCAGGGGGCTTGGCCTCACAAAGAGCATGACTCCCCGTCGCAAGTGGCTCATTTCTCTGGGCAGAGAGGTTCGAAGGAGAAAAAGTCACGACGTGTGTTTTCTTGCTAATTTGCGAATGTTTTATGCTCAATAAGGTGTACCTCTAAGCCCAAAACTCCAAACCCAAACTTAAGACGAAACGCTGCCGGCCCTGGAGCCCTAAACCTTCCACCCCCTCCTAATCACAACCAAGCAGCAGCTTCCCCGCCCCCCCCCCCCCAAAAAAAAAAAAAACAACAACAAAAGAAAACCTGAACCCGAAAGCACCAAACGCAGCATCGCCGAATCGCACAGGATGGCGCAAGTCCTCGGAGGATGCAAGGATGCCCGGAGCCTAGTGGCCATGTGGCGCGGTGGCCAGATCGCCTCCCCTGCTGAAGCTGAGGTACCGCCTTTGCTGCGGTTTAGGGTTTAGGGTTTAGGGTTTAGGGTTTAGGGTTTAGGGTTTAGGGTTTAGGGTTTAGGGTTTAGGGTTTAGGGTTTACGACCCCTACGGTAAACCCCAAAAGTGGGGACACTCCCCCTTGTACCAACAGTAGTAGTACCCGTAATATGGACGAGTTAGCAAAAGCCGGAACATCCCTTAAAGTAAACCCCAAAAGGCAAGTGCCCTTCAGACCCTAACCATCAGGACGCGGAGTCGATGGATTTCGTGTCCTTCAAGACGGTCTTCGGCCCAAGTGCCGTCGATGCCCTCGGGGATGCAGGCCGCCAGCCCCGAACTGGGTTTAGGGTTGAGGGTGGTTTTGTGGCTGAAGGTTTTCCAGGTTGTGTGGCCTTTCTAGGGTGCTTAAGGGGTTTGTTTCGGGTTGTAGGTTTTAGGGTTTGGGGCTTTACGGTTTGGGTTTTAGGGTTTTAGGGTCTTATAGGGTTTTATGGTTTAGGGCTTGGGTAGCATGAGATTTTTCCGGCATCGTAGCATTGCGGTATGATGGTTCGTGGTCTCATCGTACCACCACCTTCTGAAAGGTATCGTCCAACTCATCGTCAGGAGGATTTTTTTACAGCTCTTCGACCCTTAACCCTCACGCGCCCCAGGCGGTGCCCCTGGAGCCGCAGCGAAGCGCGACCCGGGGCCGAGTCTTGAGGAGACGTGGCCTCGGTTTGCGGTCACAAGCCGGACTCAGCGGGCCCACACATAGTCTAGTGGTGCTGATGGTGAAAAGAATCATGTTCGGAACGATAAGTTGCATAACTTCGAAGCCCAGGTCTAGCAGCCAAGGCTGTCCATATTCAGGAAGCCCTTTTGGGCTTGGTAAGTCTACGTAGTATCCCCTATAAACCGATAAACCCTTGAATCTTCCCCATAACCCAACTTCTGAAATTTCCTTACTAAGTTAAAAGGGTTTCCAAGTAGGTTGCCTTGGGATTCGCAGTGAGGTCCAGTACGCATCTTTACCGGCTGCAGCGGACGGAAGTGCTCAGAGCTGCCATCTTCCGTGATGGGCTAAGACACCAGGAGTTTGCGGTTTCGTTCAAGGTTTAGGGTTTAGGGTTTAGGGTGTTGGGTTTTGGGTTTTTGGGGGATTGTACCAACAATCCTTCCTCAGCTAGCTCAAGCATGTTCATTCAAACCCTCGATACACGAGAATGGCTACCGCTGTCCGCCCAGAGCTTTCCCACCTAGTCTAGATGTTTTTTATGCGCAGGCATGGAGTAACAGAAGCACATTTTAGGGACCAACAATTTGGGGGTTTACGAAAACAAGGGGCCCCGAATATAGACCCCAAATAGTAGGATTCCCTTAATAGGGACCCCAAGAAGGTACCCCTAATTTCGGAAGCCCCCATTTGGGTAACTGCCTTCTGTAACTTTTCTCAGGGGTGCTTCCCCCGGTCCTTGCGTGCCGGAAGGCACCAAAGTACCCCTTTAGAAGCCTACAGGACATGGATGTTAAAAACAAGGGTCCCGACAAGCAAACCCTAAACCCTAAACCCTAAACCCTCAACCCTACACCCTAAACCCTAAACCCTACACCCTAAACCCTAAACCTTACACCCTAAACCCTAGCACTTTGTGTGGTTTCGGGGCTCCCCAAACCCAAACCTCCCGAAAGCCCCTGCCAGGCTCAGCTCCCGAGGTCTTCCTTCCCTTGGAGCACCTGGCTGCCGCGGTTCGGGAGGAACTCCTGCAAAGAGAAGCTGTCGGCTTTTAGGGTTTTAGGGTTTAGGGTTTGGGGTTTAGGGTTTGGGGTTTAGGGTTTAGGGTTTAGGGTTTAGGGTTTAGGGGTTTAGGGGTGCATAGGAATGGCGGAGATTCTGGGGAATTTCTGGGGTTTTCGGTGGGGAGGCGGGGAGTTCCGGGTTCCATGTTCCGACTTCGGACAGCACGCGAGTCCATGCTGTCACAGGCTGCGCCAGAGCTTTCGGACGATGAGGTGTCTCAGGTCTGCCGACTGGCGCACGGACCCCCAAGCAACTCCAGGATTCAACGACCAGTTTGATTGTAGTTTGGGGTGCAGGTTTTCGTGGTGTGAAAGACGGCTTGTACCTGGCTTCTCTCTTGTGTTCCCCGGCGTTCCTTGTCATCTGTCGCATCCTTTGTTGAAACCCGAGTATTCTCCATGACTCGAATGTGATAGCCCAGGTTCAAAGCCATCTGTGCTTTCTAAGCCCAATGGATCAAAGGAGCCATGTGCACGGAGGTTGACTGGGACCGTGTTTGGCAAGAGGACGTGTCAGGCGTCAGCGGAAGTGTCCATGCCTCCTTGGAGGTAAAGAACACCTCTGCCAGTGGCCGCGGGGTCTGGGCCGCTGCGCCGCTGAAAGCTGGCGAGCTGCTTGTCGCCGAGCGAGCCCTGGCCGTTGCAAAGGAGATGGACCTCAGCCAGGTTCTTGTCAAGATGCAGGCGGACCTGGACCCTTTGCTTTTGTTAGTAGCTTTTGGTGTGTCGTCCCGCTATCGAGTGGAGGGTTCGGCAGTTCCCCTGGCCCTTGTCTCTACGGAAGACCTAACTAAGACCACTATAGGCCCCGTTGGATTGGAAGCGACTGAACTTGATGTGTGACGGAGAAGACATGCCAGCCTTTCCGGGTGCTGTGCCGTTGCCAGCATGGCCGAGGGAGGCATATCCGCGTTGTCCGGAGCGGTGCAGTCCAGAACATGCGATCTCACTGCAACGAATGCGTCGAATTGTTGACTTGAACGCCTACAGGTGTGCGTCCCCTGTGAGTGAGTATGCGTTTGTAGACGGTGAGCCGCAGCGAAGCGAGGAGGAACGTCATGAAAGCTACGGTGTGTTCCCTGTAGCATCTTTGTTCAACCATACCTGCACGCCCAACATGTCGAAAGTGTTGTTGGCAGACTGGGTGTTTCTGAGGGCGGCGCGCGAGATCTCACCAGGAGAGGAGCTGACCCAATTCTACTGCGACATACGCATGCCGGTCGACATGAGGCAGAAGGAGTTAAAGGACCTTTTTGGCTTCACCTGCGACTGTCCCAGGTGCTGCTTCGAGCTGTCACTTCAGAAAGCAGAACGAGGCCTGTTGGAGCCTTGGACACGCCTGTACAGCTCGGAAGTTCCCGGATTTCACGACAGGGGGCCGATCCAGATATCCCAGCTTGAAGGCATCGTTTGTGAAGCAGAAGCTGCGGCCAAGATGGCATTGCGGAGAGGGTCAAAGGAGGCCTCTGCCGAATCCGATGAAGTTCGCGAAAAGTGGCTCCTGTGGCCGTTAGTCCCAGCATTCCAGCAGCTGGCAATGCGTCTCCGGTTGGATGGCCGGCGAGCCGAAAGCATGGATTTCTGGGAACGCGCAGAGTCCTTGGCAAGGGCCGTGGTTCCACTCTCCAACATACATCTCCGCATCCATGCTGAAATGCTTCTCACACGGTGCAGCAAGGACTTGCTGGAGCAGAACCTTCGGATGGTGGCCGCGGCGTTTGGCGGTGGTGCAGCCGTGTGGCAGAGACTCTTTGGCTTTAGGATGACAAAAGAAGTAGCAGATCTAGCCAATACCTTCAGCTTGGTGCCCGAGCCTGCCATGATTTATTACCAATGGACGAGGTTGCCCAGCACGACTGACATGCTAACAGTGTGGTCAGCAGCTTTTGAGCGACAGAGTGAGATCGCGGTGGATGTCTCGCCTGACACGCTACATGTGAGCGCTCCAGGTGCGCTTGAGAAGACTATAAGACATCACTTCAAGACTGTCGATTCCATCGTCACGAAGTTCTCGAAGCGCAGGCGATGCCTGACGCTGCAGATCCCGTCAGAGGCTGACAGTGCTGGACCGGGCGGAGTGGAAAGGGCTGCCGCAACAAGTTGAAGCAGAAAGACGACAAACCATGCATGATTAAGAATGAGTCATAGCACATGACTACTGTCTGGTTCCAAGGCCTCAGAAAGGCGGCGTGCTGCATGGTGAGGCGCGCATCCCCCCCCCGCCCCCGCCCTCCCCTTAGCACAAACTGCATGATTTCCCCTGTGCATTCGCTCTTCAGCTAAAGGTTGTTCTGTAGTGGTAGGATAACCTGCTTCAGCTGTCTTTTGGAGTGCTTCGTTATTCCTTGCGAAGAAGTCCCCGTCTTTAGAACAAGCCTCAATTGTATTTGAAGCTTGAAGTCCGATGGCCAGGACGCCTACTCGTACGGCCATTTACTCGAACGCCTGGAAAGCGAGCGCAAGGAGCGATTTCAGTAACTTAGAGCAGTAAGAAGCACCAGCTGAGTTGTGTTTTGCCGTGTTCTGTTTCCTTTGCTTGGAGCCGTGGGGAAGATGTGTGCTGGGTGTTTTTGCGAGGATTTCCATCCATTGAATCCTCGCTGGCAGCTCAGTTCCTGTTGTTTTTTAAGTGGCACTGGGCTGGACTTTGCTGTGCATAGTGATCTTATTCGCCCTTTAGTTATGCTACTCCAACCAAGTGAAGTCTCTGCAGCGGCAGCAATTCAACAATTTTCGCCTGGAGTAGGCGACATGAGAGAAGAAGAAAGAGAGAAGAGAGAGGGAAGGAATGAGTGGAAGAACGCGCCAAGCGGTAGCAACCTGGCAGTTGGATGTCCGAGTCCTTCCCGTCGAGGTGAGCGTGTTCCAGCTGCTGATATGTGCCGATACATTGACCAGCGCCTTCAGGTGGCCAACTTGCTCGGCTCTCTCTCTCTCTCTCTCTCTCGCTCTTAGCTCTCTCTAGCTCTTAGCTCTCTCTCTAGCTCTTAACTCTCTCTCTGGCTCTTAGCTCTCTCTCTAGCTCTTAGCGGCCTTGCTGCAGCTACCAACCCAAAGTCGCGATAGAGGCTGATCGGCCTCAAAGACTTTACGTTCCACCTCCCGGCCAGACAGTCGAAATGAACCCTAAACCCTAAACCCTAAACCCTAAACCCCTCCTTTCGCTGTTCCCTACTCGCTCTGTTGCCGAGTGGGCCTTGCTTGGGGTTGGATGGGTCAGCTTCAGCGGCCGGAGCTTGAACCGCCCACGTCCTGAATGCTGTCCAATGGGCATGTAAATGCAAGCCTTTAGGGTTTAGGGTTTAGGGTTTAGGGTTTAGGGTTTAGGGTTTAGGGTCAGTCAGCGCATGTAGTTGGAATCAGGCTTGGCACCTGGCCTGTCTGCTTCTGCATCTTTGTTTTGCTCAGGGCTTTGGATTTGCGATGCCGCCAGGCGCAAGGTTTCGTTTCGCTGGCTGCGGCCCTCGAGAATGCTGAGGCCTCCGATTCATGAGCTTAGGGTGCTGGTTGCAGGGTGCCCTTCAATTGAAATTTACCTTTTGCTCAAAGGGTCTCGGGGGTGGGGTTGGGCGTGGGACACAGATCCACGCTCTCCGATCAGGTCCTGCGCGTCCGCGCCTTGCTGCATCCTGCAACACTTTTCAAATGCATCATGCTTGCTTTGTGTGTGTCTGTGTGTGTGTGTGTGTGAACTGATGCGCTTGTCAATCTTTGGGCGCCAAGGCTGACATCCTCCTGGATCGGCTTCTGAACTACCTACCACAGCCGATTCGTCCTGAGGCCGCCTTCGTGGTTTCTCTCCGAAGCCAGAGTTGCATCTGCGGGCCCGGTAGGACCAGCGTGTCGTGGAGAACCTCTTGCGCTTGGGGCGCCCGCTTCGCCGGATGCCCAGCTTTCAAGGCGGTTTTCCCTTTTTTTCCGGATCTGTCCTTTCCATGATGCGCAAGTGAAATCTGAAAGGTGATGGCAATATCGATGCCGCAGAGCTTGGGGCTCGGGAGCCGCCGAGTGACTAAGCCCTAAACCCTAAACCCTAAACCCTAAACCCTAAACCATAAACCCTAAGGCTACCATACCCCCAAAACTCTCCTCCAAAAGCCTCCCTCACTGAGCCCTGAATCCTCTGGAGTCAGTGAAGGCTCTGCCAAAGATTTGAGCTCCTGGCCCGCAACGGCGCTGCTGCCGGCCGGGAGCCTCTTGCACCAGCCTGGCTCCCGGTGACTGTGCTACTCCGAGTTGTGGGGTTTAGGGTTTAGGGTTTAGGGTTTAGAGTTTAGGGTTTAGGGTTTAGGGTTTAGGACCTCCTGAGTCATCACGAACTTAAACTAGCATTATCTAGCAGTCGATTGGTATAGCTCTGCGCGTGTGTTGACACCAGAGCTTGGGAGCTGGCGCTGACGTTGGGGGAGGTGGATCTGAATTTCAGAAGTAATCTTGGTCTCAGGTGAGTCCTTCAACGGCTGCTGGCCGGATGCGGGAGAAGCCGACCCCCGAGAGAAGAGGGTTTAGGGTTTAGGGTTTAGGGTTTAGGGTTTAGGGTTTAGGTTTAGGGTTTAGGGTTTAGGGTTTAGGGTTTAGGGTTTAGGGTTCAGGTTTGCGCAGCCGGTTGATTTCAATCGAGCGCTTCTGCAGCACCGTGAGGGGATCCGGCATGTACGGATGTGGGAGTTTAGCAGCTGCCCTGAAGCCCTCATCCTTACCGTGAACCAAATAGGAACAAAAGCCTAAGCACCCTAAGCCCTCATCCCCAAACCCTAAACCCTAAACATCCCCAAACATCCCAAACCCTATAAACCCTAAAGCCCCAACCATCCCCAAACCCCAAACTGTGTGGCCCAGGGTTCGGCTACCAAGCGCCTGGATGGCTTGTCCCCGGTCTTGGGCTTCCAGGAGCTGGGTGTGGGAGCATGGAGCAGGATTTCACGGCTTAGGGTTTGAAGGGTTGTGGACCGGTGGAGTTGGTACACTTTCCCCCATATGATTTCAACGACCTGCAGGATGCTCGGTCGGTCCGGTCGTCCAGCGCGAGGATCAAGCAGTGAGCGCCCGACGCCCCCGCCCCCGCCATAGACTAGAACTGCTTGCGGACTCGATGCAGATGATGCCTCGATGCTCGATGCCCTGACATTCCCCCAAAGCAAACAAATATGCAGATCCCATCGATGGCATCCTTGCGGGGTAAGGCATTGCAGTGGCTCTGCGCACTCCATGGCTCTCAGCAGCGCCATTGTGGACAAGTCGCGAATGCGGTTTCACAGATATATCAAGCATCCACGTCCATGATCCACAACTATCCCTATCCAGCACAATTCACCAGGCCAGCGTGGACTACAACTGCCTTGCGCCACAAACAGCAATTCTTTGGTTCTTACACATGTTAGACCTTCCATCGTCTCGACATGCCGCTGCTGGGCAGAATGCATGCACCACTGCCAAGGGACAGTGTAGAACTTCCATGTTCGCGATGCTCGGGAGTTGGCATTTCTGCTGCACCTGGCTTGGAGTCTTTTCGGAATGAAAGCGATGTCGATTTCTGCCTTGCCATTTCTTCAGGGCGGGTGGTCATACTGGGGTTAGGTGGGGGGGTGGCGCAAGCAGACAGAATGTCATTCGACGGAGGTTAGTTACCAGCGAGGGGTGGGGGTTATAGAGGTGGGGGATGCGGTTAGAGATGGTTTCGGCTTCTCTTCCGGCTTCACAGAAATGCCCGGGGTCCCCAAATTCGATTCTTGCCCGCCCACTCGGGGGTGAAGCGCCTGACTCAAGATGTACAGACCTGCCTCATGGGCGAAGCTTGGGATGGGACTTTGGGCTTCAAAAAGTCAGAGTCAGGAGTGGAGGTCGTTCCTCATGGTTCTGCAGCAGGAGGGTTCTGTGGAATGTGTGATGTGAAGCTGGATGCTTTGTGCCTTTCTGTTCCGGGGTAAATGTCTCGCAGAGGGTGGTGGACTTTTTCTCGCGGATGGCTCATCACAGCTGCTCTGGAAGCACCACGCATGGCGCAGCACTGGCTCACCAGCCTGAGTTTGCTTCAACACTTGATTGGCACATGAACATCATGCTCGCAATGCTTGAATCCGACTTTCTAGTGAGCTCAAAATCTAGCAAGAATCAGCCTGCCTCCTGTTGTAAATTGTCTTGCGTTGCTCATGTGGGTATGTCACAGACTCCATGTGGGGCCTGATCGGCGACAGCTCTCTCTATTGCAAGGAGGGCACAAAAAGGCGCTCCATTAAGGACGGGCTGTGGAGGAGGCTTCCCTTTGTGAGGGAGCTGAAGGTGACGCCCCTGGCCGGCAAAGGCCTGCCGCAGATCCTGACGGCCCTGAAGGATGGGCCTCGCTACGCGGTCCTGGGTGTCAGCTACTTCGGCAATGACCTTGGGCAAGGCATCTCCAGATCTTTGGAGAACGCCCTGGAGGAACTGATGGAAGTGGCCAGCCGGAAGGCTGACAAAGCGGTCTTCTTCATTGGCGGATCTGCAAGGCGCCTTGGCAAGGACAATGTTGTGGGGGGGCTCAACTATAAGTGACGAGAAGGGTCTGTTGCAAAAGCTGAGAAAAGGGATTCCCCGAACTAAGGAAGTACAAAGATGCTGGCATGCAGCTCGACAACCGCTATGACGAGAGCTTGGCCATGATCAGGCAAGTGGCCAGTAAGCTTCAGCACTTGAACTGCCGGCTTCGGCTCAGCTTCTTCTTACTGTTGGTTAGTAGGGAATGGGGGACTGAGGTACCTATGTAATCCTTTAAAGGGTATATATATATATATACAAATACATAGGCCCTAATTCCCTCATTCCCTGCTAGCCAACAGTCAGTCTTGTGTCTTGCCAGGCGCCGTCTGCGCCACGCGGGCTTCTCTGCCACGTCTGGGCGAAGTGAAGTGGAGCGCTGGCCACTGTGCCAAGACTGCCTCCACTGGGACGTGAGCGCCAGGGAGGACACTTATGTTCTCCTCCACTCTGATTGATGTTCCCATGCTCGGTTTTGTTTGGTGATTGTCCAGGGGGCGAGGGGTCCTTTCTGTCAGGACGTGTGCAGCTTCTGGGCGCAACTCCTCACCTCTGCTGCCACTGCGGCAAGGGGGCCCAGCACCCATGACATCGTTGTGCCAGCCGTCAAATACTTCTTTGGGCTGTGCTTAGCGTACGCTCATGTACCATTGACACGGCTCATATCATATGACGGGACAAGATCAGATATGCACACGAGTTCCTTTCATCTAATTGTCAAACGAGAAAATTCACAGCAGACACGATGTCGCCATGCCCAATGAAACGAGTAGAGTGACTAGAGTGCCAAAAACACCATCAATGAAACAACTCAGGGCTGTCCACTTGGGCAGCCTGGGACCCAGCTTGAGCTTGCAGAGAAGCAGTCCTCGATCTCAAGCCCATTCCCATCCCCAACCTAAGCCCTTACAACCTCTGCACCTCACCCTGTCGCCCTAAACCTGGACCTCAACTGCAGCGCCTTTGCAGCCAGGTGCCGGCCCCACCACATCCGCCGTCCCGAAGCACGGGCGACATGCATCTGGAGCTTGGGGACGAAGTGGAGATCCAAGGCATGTGATGGGGGCGTTCAGATGTCGTGGTTCAGGGATGGATGTACGTTTATGGCCTTAGGGGTGACGTGTTCTCCGGTTGTTGCGGGGCCGATGTCTCATTCCTCATATGTGGGCACCTTGAGTAATTTGCTGGCGTGTTTGGGCCTTAGCGGAGCCTTGCAGGTGTGAAGGTCTGTGATGACCCCAATCATGACTCCCAGTAGGTAGGATCTTGGGAATCAGTCATTTTGCCTTACTTAGCTCAAAGATGATTCTTATCCACGTAGGAATTTTTGGTTTATGGGGCCAGCCTAGCAAGCATGCGAGGTCTCGTGTCGGCATCGCAGCACAACGGCAAGCGTGGTGTCATCGTACAGCGCGTGCTCCCTAAAACTGCTGGAGGCGCGGGGTTTCGAGAAGAATCGGGCTCGGGAAGGTTCAAGCAGAATAAACCTCCACGGCTCCGCGCCACCAGACATAATATTTTGGCTAAGAAGCAATGCTTGTAGACCCTATGGGACCCGATTGTAATGTTGGATGCCCGGCTCGACCGTTGAAGTGTAAGTACAAAGGAACCCCATTGCCACTCAAGCAGCCCCAAACCCTCAACGCAAAGCCCACAAACGCCTTGGCAACCCAGCAAAACACGTCGGACCCAAACCCTTGACCCTAATCCCTAGCCCTAAACCCTGAACCCTAACACCTAAACCCTAAGCCCTAAGCCCTACACCGTAACCCTGAACCACTGCTTGAGCCTCAGACCCCTGCGCCAGGTGAGGTTCCTTACCGTTGGCGCGTCAAGTGTTTGGAAGGCAGGGGGTGCTGCGACAGGTCCCTAGTTTTCAGGGTTTGTCGGTGCCTTTGAGGGTTTTGGGTTGGGATGTTCCCCCTTGTACTAACAGCCCTTAATGGGGATGATAGTACGGGGTACTGCAATCCCTATTAAGGACTGTTAGTATAAGGGGGAGCATCCCAAGTTTTGGGGTTTAAGGGTGTTCAGGCGCTCAGGGTTGGCAGTGTTCGTTGTTTTCCGAATTTGTCGTCAACTTTTTTTTTCAGTCTTGCCCTTGCGTAGCTGATGACACATAGTGACCTCTTGTTCACCCTGGATTTCTCACGCTGGCATCTGTTCATCAATTTCCTGATAGCATTTGAAGTCTCACCAGTCCTATTTTTCGGCTTCACCTGTCTGGCTCCTCTGCTAACTGCTGAATGGTAAGGCCCGCAGAGGCCCCTTAAAGCCCTTAAAACAGGTGGCAGCGAGCCGCTGTTGCTGGACCTGAAGGAGGGGAACCTGCGCCAGGCGCACACGAAGTTTGAAAGACCCAAAACCCTGTTAAGTCTTCGACGGATCTCAGGTTACTCATGTCACATCTCACTTGAACTTGCTACACAATTTGGGATGTTCCCCCTTGTTCTAACAGTCCTTAATCGGGATTCTAGTAGGGGGTACCATAATCCCTATTGAGGACTGTTAGTAGAAGGGGCAGCATCCCAATACGCAGTTATCATTCACAAAGACAGCCAGACAGGCTCACGATTTGTTTGTGTCGGGAGAACTGTCTGGAGTTCTTCAAACGTCTTATGCTTCACCCGTGCGTTGTGAAGCTTTGCGGGTCCGTGGGACTTTTCTGCGGCGTCAGGATTACCAATGCAGTGGATTGATTTGAGCTCAAGGCCCTTGTTTGGAGACTCCTTTCCTCCCACCTTTATCGCCATGGCCTCTGCTTGCTTCCTCGCGCTGCAGCAGCAGCAGCAGCAGCAGCTTGTGGAGAGCGCACCTCGGAACGGCACAGCAGCATCACCATGCATCACCCAGAACCCTGCAAAAAGGAGGTGAGGCAAGGGCGTTTTGGGTTCGCAGCAGAGTGCACGCCTATGCCAGAAGTGAGGATTCAGATGAGCTGCTGTCCACTTCGGCAGAGCTCAACGAGGTGCGGGTGATGTTGCGCATGCAGGGACTGGAGGGCTCGGTGTTGATTTTCGGGGCAGACTGCACGTGCGAGGTGTGGTTGGCATGTAAATTGACATTGTCTACTAACCTGTTTCCGAACTGAATTCAGAGATGTCCTCGCCAATTTTCTTCCACAGTGCTGGAAACCCATGTCCAGTGTTTATGATAGCTACGGATGCTCTTGGCGAGAGGTACAAATGTATGCAAAAGCACGATGCTGAACCTTATCTTCCAATGAAGTGCATCTGCAACTTGTACGTAGTGGAGTCCCCACATGTCCCCAAGCAGATTGTGGCATATGGACAGGCACAGACATCCCTGAAACTGAAGGCGTCTTGCCAGCGTGCTTCCCCTTTGCGCATCCTGCACCCTCCACAGGACATCGACAGCTCTGCAAGGCCTGACTCCCCAAGCTCCCGGACACACCGAGGCCGGCTGACCTTTTTCTGCGTTATTTCTTGATCCTTTCGTGTCCCTGCAGCAGGAAACCATGGGAGCCGGAGCCGTCTCCGCACGAGAAGCGACGTGCAGGAGGCCTTCTGGCGGTCCCCCTGCGAACCCTTGCAATCAAAGGCGTCCACGTGGAGGCTCAGCTGTACTGCAGAGTTATTGCAGGTGATCCGGTTCATGGAGGGGGAGGAGGAGGACATGGGCTCTCCGTCCGCCAAGACGGAGACCGAGGCCAGGTGCTTGGGCAGCGTTCTCTGTTTCGTCGTGTGCTGCGCTGCGCAGGCTCCAGCAGCAAGCACGACCTGCTGGGACAATCTCGACCCGCGGTTGCTCCCTGTGGTCCTCACCGTGTCCCTGGTCTCCAGCGCCATATGCTGGTTCTTCCTGCAATGTCCGTTGCTCAGTGACTTGGCCTTGATATTGCCCTGATATATCCTGATATGCACGTCACACAGCAGCATGCGAGACCAGTAGTTATGACATGCGATAGCGCGCGTGCGCACATACGAGTACAGGGCTGGACGTACTGTAGCCCGGTATGTTTCGGACGAGGTGAGAATGGCATGGGCCCTCTCAACATTCTGCGTGTTGGAGCGGCCGTGCCATTTGTGCTGGCGTTCGGCCCGGAGCTCGTTTTTTTTTTAGTCTTCGACTTTTGGTGCAGTGCCATGGCACCCGACAGCTTTTCGCCTGCAGGTCTCATGGCGTTCGCCAGCCAAGTGGACCCAGGCATGGTTCCGGAAGGGCACCCGGAGCGAGCCATCGAGCGGTCTTACAAATCGTCACAGCCCCTTGGCTTTGCCATCCTCATTTCCGTCACACCCGTGATCATCCCATGTTCTTTTGCAGTGCATTTTTTTGGGGGGTGCTCTCTCGAGGTTTCCGCGGCTCATACGCCGACCCTCACCTTGCAATTGTGGCGGGGACGTGGCCGGCGACGGCAACCCAACTCTTGTGTGTATCTGGCTGCATGCCCGGAATCCGAGGATACGACCATTTTTGCAGATGGTTACTCAATGGCATTGGTTTATACAATCACCGGGCACCTTGGCTTAGCAGTGAGCTGCCCTTACGTGGCCTTCTACACAGGACCCTCCCCGAGCCAACCATCAGAGCGTCGGGCTCAGGAGTTCTTCATGCTGCTAATGGTCTTCACTGTGATGGTGACGGGAAGTTGCTTGGCGAATTTCATTCCGAATCCGAGAAGCGTGTTACTGCAGCACATCGGGCACTCTGCATGGGCGATTTTCGTTTTTGTCCGTCATTCGTCAACTGAGGCTCGATAGTGGACGTCTACCTCCTCGCCGCTTTCTTTCGCCCCGAGCACTGGGCCTGGGCCCTGGCTCCTGGCGTTAGAACTTCTGTGAAAACCTTTTGGTCAAGCATCTGAAGCTGATCCCAGGTCGTGGAGTGCTTGCTGGCCGCTGGGCTCCAGAAATCGTTGCACCGCTTGAAACTGCCAGACAGTCAGCTAGTTCCGTGCCACGCCAATGCGTCCGGAGTTCTGGAACTCTTTGCATTTCGCTCGTGAAGACGAGGCTGCCCATCTGGCCTACGTTGCAGTATTTGCGTATGGTTTACTCCCGATTGTCCGCCTGCATGTGGCCTTCGTTTCGAGGACACGTGCTGGATTGCCGATTTCATGGTTTACAGTCATGTGTGATTGCGTGCCTAGAGGAATGAGCTAGCAAACGAATGGAAAGATGACCTGAATTACGTCGTGGACGATTTGGAGTGGTGCGCCCAGTTGGCTCCACGGTCCTGCTATTCTCTCTGCAGGTCTCTGCGCGCATGGCTTGTGAGCTACTGTGAGCATTCAGGACGGGCACCTCGAAGTGGGTCGGGGAGCTGGACATCGAAGAATTCAACGACAAGTTCGACACATTCCGCTATGCCCCTTGGTATTCCTTGGCGAAGCCAAGCCCAAAACTTCAGTGAGCGACGGTGGAATGATGTGGCTTGCGTAGTTCGGGTTGCGCGTTCCCTGGGAGTTTGTCTGAGGAACCCACGCGAAATCGCTGGGACAAGGGCTGGCACATGAGCCTGATCTGCAGGGGCAGCATGTCAGACACTCTCAGGCTCTTCTCGTTGCTGGCAGGTACGGGTAAGGCAAGCGGCAGGGTTGGGGCAATTCGAGCCAACATGATCCAAGGAACTGCTACTTGTTCTGGTGTGTCCCAAGATGGGACAAGCATCAGACCGGAGAGTTTTAAAGAAAGGCTCAGCAGAATTCGTGAACGGCGCCCGTCGCGAAACATGCCGGCGTGGCGTGGAGTGACGGAGTGCGCAGGCAAGCGCAGCTTTATGTCCTGAGTCGGCCATGAGGGGCCCGTCCTGCCCACCTGTCGTCGACGTCCTTAGTGTTTGTATGCAGTTAGCATCTGTTGCAGTAGCTTGCAGCATAATCGTCCTAAAGCAACAGCAGCTTAGCAGCGTATACACAAAGTCAGGCAGTGCCCCAGCCGAAGGCCAGCACAAAACGTGCCCACCGTGACACAAGCATACGCCTTTGGGTGCGTCCCAAGACGGGACTGCAGCACCAGACGAATTCCACTCGTGACGAGCCTTCCATGCTGCAAACCTGCGGCGTGGCCACCGGACCTTGCCAGCTGCGTGAAAGATGTGTTACATTTTGTAAGGCTCGCGGACAGCTCTTCAGAAAGGTACCCGATATATCATGATATATTATCAATCCATTCAAGTTGGGGCGTCTGTGGCATCCGTGCACAGGGCAACAAGGACGACTATCAGCCTGTGCAAGTACATAGTTCATGACTCGCTTTCGATTCGTGATGATGACTCTCCTTCGGGGCCACTTGTTCAAGCAGCCAGTGATTTATGCAGCGGAGTCTACGATTTAATTTTGCCATTGTATATGTCACGGGCGTTTCCCGAGATCCCGTTTAGAGTTTGGAGCCGCGTGTGGAGGCATCGACGCCGATGCCGGCACCACCTACGGAATCTATGCCTAGGTTTCTGGGCCAATCTTGGCAGTGCAGGAAGCAATATGGGCTTACAAGTGGGTTATAAGTACAGTTATGCTTGGTTAATAAGTACCATGAACCTCCAAGTCGTGTTGTGCCAGTGAGTCCGCAGAGCGGCGCGTGGCAGGTTGAATCGGGAAGCAACAACGCCTACTGAGATCTTCGTGGACTCGGCGAGCGAGGCGCAGAATCCGCGTGCGAGCTAGTTTATGGGTGCAGCCTGGGATGTTCACCCTTATACTAACAGTCCTCAAAAAACAAATGAAAGCACGTCCTGTTAGAATCCCAAGTAAGGACTGTTAGTATAAGGGGGATCATCCCAAGGTGCAGGTCAGTACTTGAGGCACGGTAGCATAGTAGGTGTGCCGGGGAGTGCGGCAGGCAGGATCGACTGCATCGATGTCGTCACAGTCACAGGCTGGCTCAGATTGTGCCTGGTTGTCGGAAAGCCTATACTTTATTCCCTAAACCCTAAACGGCCCTAAACCCTAAACCCTAAACAATTTAGGATCCTGAGCATTCAGCCACAGAGCACTGAAGACCTGCAACTGCCAGTGGCATCTGTCCTTGCCCAAGCCGAAGTAGGGATGTTCTGGATTGGGGCCGTCCAGGTGACCTTGTGTTCCTTTCTGATGTGTCGCTTGTCCTTGAATTTTCTGGGCAGCTTACGAAAGCTCTTGTTCTTTCAAGAGTCTCATTCTGAATCTTCGCCTTCTAGGACTTCTCGAACCTCTCCCAATCTGCAGAGGCCGAGCTCTCAGAGAAGTTCCGTACGTTCGCCATCACTGTCTTCCGCCACACCGCTGCTGAAAGGCCTCTCGCTGGTTTGCAGCCATGTTTTTGATTACGGGCTTTTGGAACTTCATAGGTATCACAGGCTTCAGTCTAGAAGCACCTCCGATTTTTTCTGGTGAAGGGGGGGCGGGGGGGTGCGGATCTTTCTAGAACTCACAGGCTGACTTCACCAAATGAGGGCATGAGAACTTACTTATTCAAGACGTCTATGACAACAAGATACAAAATCAGCCAAAACAACTGCTTGCCAGGCTCGGCATTCGCGTGGAATCCGTCTGTGGCACTGGCCGGGTTTGTGAAGCAAAGCTTAGGGGCCAACTCTGATGTCCCAAGCCAGCCCAAGAACTGAGTCTCGACAGACAAGCGAGTAGTCACACGGCAATCATATGCTGAGCCTCTGAGCGCTGTTTCTGGGCATTTGTGTCAGCTTTCTGGTTCTGGATCTGCATTAGGCAGAAAGATCCTTTCAGCTCTTGTAGGCCCGTGCTCGAGTGACTCCATCGGCAGGCTTTGATGACGCTGCACGGGTGCACAGGATCTTCTCTGGCGGCTTGCGTCTCGACTGGTAGCTCGTAGGTGTGGCCGCGCCTCTACAAGACAAGGTCTGAAGTAGCTGAAGGGTTGACTGCATGTTTTTCCCGAGTGTCAAGTGGGTGAAGATGTTCCAGCTGCCTAACAGTGCCGTGGCCTTGCAGCAAATCAGCGCCAAAAGACACACAGAAAGGCATCCCATAAATACTGACAGGAAGCCGACCCAAGGTGAGATTCAGCAAAGTTTAGGGTTTAGGGTGCAGGGTTTAGGGACCCGAAGAGCGCATGGGGCGCTTAGGATCGACAAATGGAACAAGGAGGTCACTGAGATGGACCTCCCGGATTGGGTGGTTCAGGTGGATGCTCCTTGTCAGCCTGGCCCTAGCATCTTATGCCTCTCAGCGTGACAGGATGTGCGCGGAGTTGAAGCATGCAAGAGCTTTCGAAACCCGAGGATGTCATCGCAGGCCTGAACGGACGGCGCAACTTCACACCAACCTGCCAGGAGGCCAGAACACTTCCCAACGACATGTATGTCCTAAACCCAAAACCCTAAACCCTAAACCCCCGTTATGATTATGGACAAGCAGCCACCAGGGCTAAGGCTGACAAGTGCAGGGCCGGAAGTCCACGATCTAGCTGCCACGTGCTGTGTTACATGAACAGTCCATGAACTGCTTGGCCCAGATCCCTAGTAGAGTATACAAATGATATACTAATCATAGTACTGTACGAATATAGTAATATACTCTGTAAGAATATAGCAATATAGTAATGAGCAGGTGCAAGAGGTGCCCAAGCCGCAGTTACCTGGTGTCGGAGTCGCTGCTTGCTTTGGCACTTCCGGCCCTGGAAGTGTGCGTTGCGTAGTCTTGGGGCCAATGCTGTGACCTTTGCTGCAAAATGTCCTGAGGCTACTGTGCTGAACCTACTCATTATCCGCGGCCACTTCGGCTGCAGATGTTGAGAAGTTCAGTCACCAAACACCTTGAGAGGTCTCTACGGGTTTCAATGCATGCGAGCGACTGGCATGACGCATAAGCCTGCGTTGTGAAAGACGCAACCCTCGATTGCATTCTAAGATCTAGGCCTCTTCGTTCACTAAGCCCTGCAAGCTGAAGCCTATCAGTGACCCCCGAAAGTATGTCTTTGTGTTGGCCTGTCCGGAAAAGAGCGTGCTTCCAGGGACCGGGGCATGAAAGTGCGTGAACGTTGGACGCGGTTGAATGGGGGTACCCTCTATAAAGTCAAGTTGGCCGGGCTATTCAGGACACCCGAACTGTTTGGGGGTGCGCCGTGGGATCCACGATTAAGTCAAATCGTCCGGGTGCGGAAAGGACATTTCGTGCGGCGCGCCTTTACAATCAATTGCCGGGCTTCGCCGTCCTTTTGAATTCATCTAAACTCCTCCCCTTTAAGATCATATAAGCCCCGTGGACCCTTTAAAGAGAGCCAGAACCAGCTTCGACCCTTCTGGGGGGGGGGGGGGAAACACACTAAAGCAGGTCCAACATGAAGCACTATATCTGTGTAAACCTGGAGACTTAAGGATTCGGTACAATGGGAGGCAGAAAACTAGCCCTGGATCGTCCGTGTCAGGACTTAGGTGAAAGGTTGCCCGTAAAGCCAGGCCGCAAGTCAGCCCGGCTTCTTTGAAGTCACAGGTACACCCTACTTCCACTCTGCCAGTAGTGGTAGGAGTCCTCTTGTGGGTTGTATGGAACAAAAATGACCCGCCGAGATGCTCTGAACGGATACAGATAGGTTTCTTCAACTTTGTTTTGGGTCTCGCATGTTCTGAGAATGCAAAGCCATACTTGTCCCTGACATACCTGTCCCGAAACCCACTTGCATTGCCTGAGCCGAGGATGGCCTTTTCCAGGCATTGACGTGTAGCGGACGTTGCAGATGGCCTGGGCCACAGGCAGAAGTGGCGGCACGAGCCCTGAGCCCCCGAGTTCCCTAAAGCATGGGCAAAGGACCGTGCGGTCATCGTCATCCGTGCCCTTTCCGTAGGCTTTGTTGGCCCAAGCATCAGACATCGGACAAGAGCCGGAGTGCATTTCAGGCGCCATGCTCGAGTTGAAGCCAAACGTGAAGCTTGACCCTTCCAAGAAGCAACCTTTTTCATGTGGGCGGTTCTCTGCAATCTTAGGGTCCTTCTCGGGGTTCATATCACGATGCGGGTCGTAGATTTAGACTGTATCCTCAGGGCACGTAAACAGAGACCATAAATTTAGAGAGCTACCATGTGTTGTCTTGTGCCTTTATAAGTATCGAGCTGTGTTTGGAGATGCAAGGAAAGGCGAACGCACCTTCTACATGGCAAGGCTATGCCAAATCTTTCTTCTTGGCGGCTTTGCAATGTATGGCCTGTTCGAGGCCTTTTGGCAGCAACTTGCTGGGGTTCGGAGCCAAAAAATGCCTGTTGGCTATAGACTGCACTGGCTCAGGTCCGTAGGACCCTTCGACTCTCAACATCTCCTCTCGTCTGGTCATTTTTAAGTCTCCCCACCCAGCTGTGCGAGCTATTTGCATGTGACGCTGTCATGACTGCGAGGCAAGGCGACTCGTCATCGAGCCCATCACCCAACTGGAGGTAAAAACTCGCAAGCTTCCGCCCATGATCTGTGCTTGCTGCGGAGAGTACAGTTCTCGAGGCGTTTATCGGGCTGCGGCTGGCATGTCTAGCGGACAGAAGGCCGCAGAGTTGGTAAGCTTCGATGGATGTGCTTGCCTCAACCCATCGGAGTTTGGCACTACCTACGGCGGCAGATACCACAATGTCTATTTGGCATGGGCTTGCGATTTGCCAGAAGTTGAGGGATTCCTGGAGCAGAGAGAAGCATGGGGGAGCGAGGATTGGGCCAGTGGCTTCTCGAAGCCAGTGACGGGTGCGAGGTTCCCGGCCTCCGGACAACTTGGGGGCAAGATCCACTGTGAGCAAGAGGGGCATGACGAGACGGTTTACATCTTCCGAAATGGCGAAGATTGCGAGTTTGCAATGACAAGTCAGCGGGAGTTGTGGTCTAGGACATACTATCCACCAGGTAGTTGGGATGGCATCAAGTACCAGACCCTTGACTTGCCGATGTACAGCACCACATGGCAGACGTTTCAAGATGTAACCACTCATCAGACGTATGGATACGGAACAAGCACGGAGGTTTCAGAGCTAGGGGATGGTGCAGTTGGACCGGTGGCAGAAGGGAACATGAAAGACGTGCAAGATGAATTTCATAGGCACGAAACACAAATCAATGCAACAGGAATGAAAGCGTGGGAGCTGAGTCTTGAGATTGACACCCGGCTGCACGTCTACTTGAACGTGGGCGGCATTCCTCGAATTTTCATGTGGCTATCGACCGTGGGTGGCCTGTTTGGCACGCTGGCTGGCTGCTATGCCTTCATCTTCATCAAGAGCAACCTGGTAGATAGAATTCATGGGTGCTGTTGTCTAGTGTAGTCGGGGTTGAGTCGGCAGACTTCCAGCTGGTTCATCCTCCTTGGTAGGGTTTCTTGCCTTTGGTTTCAGAAGGCAACCCCGACCACGAGATCACCCGCATCTACGAGGAGCGCGAGATGAGGGCGTGCTGCTGTTGCGCCTCCCGCGCAAAGAAGGTTGGGTTGTTCAAAGAGAGCTGTTGCTCCACGAGCCGGGACTCACGCTGTCGACCTGAATTTAGGGTTCAGGGTTTCGGGCCTCAACCTTCGGACCCTTGTCAAGCTTGAAGCTCCCAAAGACAGAGCCAAACTAGATCAACATAGCCAGGTGGAGCCGACTCCCACCGCCTGGGCTCCCGCCACCAAAGGCGCACAGGCGGGAGTGGACGCGTAGCCGGACGGATTGATGTTTGACTGTGGTTCACTCATGGCGGCCAGTGAACTAGAGCCGCGTACTGGCAGCTTTTGTGTGGCAAGTTCTTAGACAGCCTGTCTTCAATGTCGCCCGTGCTCATGTGCAAATACCTGAGTATGCCCAAGGCCCAAAGGTACCTGAAACACGGGAAGCCCGGCAGTCCTCTTAGAGGACTCGTTCGGACCGAATTTGCAACAGGTGCTTGTGGCAGGCCCTTTTTGTACCCTGCAGTGTCTCACCCGAGGGCGTCTTTATTCCCTCGCTGTGGACAGAACCTGTCCAGCTGAGTAGTGACTTCGTCGGCTTTAGGCCCTGGCCCAGGGCCTGCGACTGGCACGCGGACGACCGATGAAAACGGAACGCATATGCATGTGCATTGACCAGCATCGGTGGGGTGCCACCTGCCACCTCTGCAAATATTTGAGAGTATTTGAGAGATGATGAGTCACGGTGCAGTAGACCAGCACCACCACCAACACCACCGCCACCGCCACCAACACCACCACCAACACCACCACCACCGCCACCACCGCCACCATCGCCACCACCGCCACCACCACCGCCACCACCACCGCCGCCGCCGCCACCACCGCCACCGCCACCGCCACCGCCACCGCCACCGCCACCGCCACCGCCGCCACCACCACCACCACCGCCGCCACCCACCACCACCACCACCACCACCACCACCACCACCACCACCACCACCACCACCACCACCACCACCACCACCACCACCACCACTGCCATCATAACCACCACTGCCATCATACAACAGCAGCAACAGCACTTGCAGTCCCTGCCGCCGGAGTGTATACTTTTCCTGCCCCCGAATATGAATTGCCAGCATTACCTGTCTGCATCGCTTTGGGTGTCAGCTTCCCTGTCCCGGCCAGTTGGATGTGAGGGTCCTGCCACTTGGATCTTTTCCCTGCCGCTCCATGTGCAATCACTTACTTTCCCGCCACTTTCGTTTCTGCCTGCGTGCTTCTCGCAATTGGAAGTCAGTTCGAGCTTTGCTGCATTGCATTGTGAGAGTCTTGTTTCCACGAGCAAGCAGTGATCTTGAAATTCCTACCCAGGGACATCGATCACCTCAAGAATGAGGCCAGGACCAGGGACTGGCGTGTAGGCATCGATGTCAGAAGAAGGAAGCCCCAACAGCTTTCCAACTCAACTCGACTCTGCCCGAGCTCCGGAGCGCAGTGTTTTGTTGTGGTTTTCTTCCTTGTTCCAAGGCTCAAAAAACTTGGTGCGCCTTGCAGGTATCCCCTTTCGCAAACTGCCAACTCATGGCAGGCTTGATTGGGGTCATGGGTGGCGCCCTCTTCTGCGGCAACGCAGTGAAAAATATGGCAAACGATCTGATCTCACACGCCGCGTCGGAAGTTGAGCGCACCGGTGGAGTGCTCCTGCGGCAGGGCGGCAAGGAGTTCAAAGGAGTCATCTCCCATGGAAAGGCTGAGGCAGAGGATTTGATATTCACATTCGGTGAAGCCACCCAGGACACCATCAAGCTCGCGATTGACAAGGCCGGCAAGGAAATGAGGCTTTTGTCCGGTGAGCTGGCCCAGCATGCCGAGCTGCTTGTGAAGACTTCAGGGAGTGAAGTTCGCATGTGCATTGACCATATGGAGAAGAACGTGGCCTTAATACTGGACAAGCTACCCCAGACTGCGGGGGAGGTGTCGCGCGAAGCTGCCTCGGGATTTGTGAAGGGCCTTAGGGATCAGTTTGGATGGTCCAGCCCTCCTAGCTTGGTGGTTGAGGTGAGCAAAGCAATTGAGGGCCAGAAGGTGTTGCTGCCGAAAATTTTGGAGGCGGTGGCGGTTCAGCCAGAGTCGCAGCAGAAGCTCCAGTATCAGGCATTTTACCTCCTTTTCCAGACAATTGGGACCATGGTGAGGGACGATTTCAGTCTTCAGCAGCGGTTCGCCCTTCAATTCTACATCTCTGCCGTTGCTCTACGCACATGCTCGCCGGAGCAAGGATTCCTTGGTGGCTATGTCCCCGGCGCCTTGCGGAAACTCCCAACACAAAATGAGCTTGAGGTTTTCACCAAGGATTTGGTGAAGCTGGGGCATCAGGAACACATCAGGACAAGAGCTGTCGATTTTCTCCAGGGCATCAGGAATCGTGATGACGCGACCATCCAAGATGAGTTCTTCAGCATCGTGCACGAACTGCTACCGCCGCGGCTGAAACAACTTCAGTCAGATGCGGCAACATCGCCAGCAATCCCTCCAGCTCCACCACCTCGAGAGGCTTGCAAAACTCGCCTCCAAAAAGTGAAGCAGCAAACCAGCGACCTGAAAAGCTTTGCGGAGAGTTGCGAAGGCCGGTGCGATAAGGATGAGCATGTGTGCGGGACATTGAGACAGAAATCCAGAAGATCGACGCAGACTTCCCGGAAGTGCTCTCCAACTTCCTGGAGAACAGTGACCTGATCAGTTTGATGGCAGAAGTGAAAAGCCTGTGCCAGGAGGTTGAGCCGCGCAGATCCCGGGATCACCTGAAAACAGCCTTGGAGAAAGCGCAGCGCATCACGCCCGATCGGCTGCCAGCTTCCATGTCTATGCCCTTGTCCAAGTATCAGCAGCTTTTCGATGCATGCAAGGAGAAGGTGCGCATCAAGCTTATTACTGGCCATGAGGCTGGAAGCGATGCCGGCAGTCGCGCCAGAAAGGACCTCGTCTATGATGGATACCACGAAGATGGCTGGCTGCTGTTCGGTCATGGCAAGCAGCACAAAAAGTTTTACGTGATCAAAGAGCATCGTGAGTTGGTCTGGAGGAACCAAGGTTGGCACTGCTTGTGGACGGATCACGGTTCGGGCAGGAGTCGAGAGTATGCGGTCTGGGCTCCAAAGTTGGATGAAAACGAAGATTACAAGCCATTGGGTGCGGTGTGCCAGTTCCGGACCAAAGGTTATGATCCTCCAAATCTCCAGGTGGGGGGTTTACGAGAATAACCTCTAATATATATTCCCTTACAATCAGGACCCCAATAATTATAAGGTACCAGGTACTTTCTAATTTCGGAAACCCCCCCCAGGTAGCCATGGTGCACAAGGACCTCTTGGAGGAGGTGGACCTCCAGGGCGCCGAGGTGGCGTGGTCTGATGCCGGCACTGGTGCCAAGAAGCTTTGTCATAGTTGGGGTAACATTTTTAGTTTTGTAGGGGTGATGAAACCCAGTAAGGAATAAACAAATTCAATTTTTAAGATTATCCCAACCATGAACTAGGAAGGACGTCGAGCTCATGCTGCATCCCCAGTTTCATTGCCTTGTTGCAAACCGTCACTACAGTCCCAAGAAGCAGCTTCGAGATCCGGGGCCATGTTGGAGGCTGAAGGAAGGCACTTTTGTCATCGATCAGTGAGACGTCCAGGAGCAAGCCAGGCAGGCCTCAGGCATTGGTTAAACTTCTTCTTCTGTCTGAAGCTGGCATGCATAGTGGGATGCAGAGGTGGACAGCATCTGAGTGGAACGTTCTAGTATCACTCACTATTCTCTGCGCTGTCATTGCATGGCTGGATGATGTATGCCAGCCGAGCCGCCCCTGCATCGTTCGGTGGCCCGAAGCATGGATCGCGAGGCAAGTGGCATCAACCGCTTTTAATCGCAGTGCCTCAGCTTGTAATCGGCGCATGAGATGGATGCGACATCGACGCAGGGGGCGTGGCATGTTGACATGACGCGAGGACTGAAGCGTGAAGGCGGACGAGCTGAAATGGACTGTCCTGAGTGCAGAGGGCCCCTAGGCACTACATCCCCTATTTAAGCCCTACAAGACTTATAAGGTTCTAAGGAAGAAGGGTCAGCACGGACAGGCAGCTAACTCCCCACCAAGACGTCTAGCCAACGACCCTCCCAGACAACAACCTGGAGGAGTTTGATTGCCGGCAATCGCCTAAGACCCCTCGTCGTCCCTCGCCTTCCTCCTAAAGACCCCATAAATAATCTAACTTCGCGCGCAGAAGACGCTTGCAAGTTAGCTTATTTTATTAGGGCTTTTGGGGGGTCTTGGAAATAGAGGTCAGTTCACCCACCAGTAATACCACCATCAACAACCGCATCATCCTGGATCACCAATTCACCTCTCTCCTTGAATCAGACTTCTGGTGACCTCGCGAAGTTAAGGCTTTTTCACCATCACCAAGACTCATTAATGGTATGTTTCCATGGCTCTTTCTCCACCACGCATGACATGTGAATACAAGAGTGAAGAGAGCATTAAAGTCCGGAAAGAGACAGAACAGGGTGTGATGTTTGTGGGGTTTAGAGGCCTTCGTGAGCTGCATAAACCCTAAGCTTTTTCTTGCCCTGAGGCCTTACATGGTGGTAGGGAAGCAACACATCACAAAGCGAATGTGTCCGATCATCTGCTATTGGTCATCTCTTAAACCTCGGAAAGCTCGAGCTGCGACTTCCTGAAGCGCTCCAAGACGAATCTCACGTGACCCTCTGCTGTGAGTCCGTGAGTCATGAGCAGACACTACTGGTCCTGATGCCTTCAAAACGATGAAAGAATGTAGAGCGTTGCGCGCGGAGGTTCGCGGGTCATCTCAATCCTGGCCAAGATGTTGTGCGATGCCAAGGTCACACCGATGCTTGCTAGAGATCTGCAGTTTTTGCGTATGGACGTGATTATGCCACGGGCTATGGTCCTGGTCATCGCGCAGGTGTTGCCTGTAACTGTAAGCTGCGCCATCTCCTGCTTACAGGCAGAATTGCACTGGAGACCAAACGGAGAAGAGGAAGTCCCAGGCCGGGAACCCCAAGATGTTTCTTGCATTGCAGCCCAGATGCATGACGAGTTCTGAACCTTGGGCAAAAGCTCCTGGCAAAGGGAAGATGGCTCCGTTTGAGCTGTGCGGAAGATGGCGGCCTAGTGCAGATGTCCAGCCGAGTCCTGTGCCAAAACGTCCATGGCAAATACATCACCACGCACAAAGGAGCTTCTGATACAGAGCTCGCTAAGTGAACGGCGTGAGGCTGCCAGAATAAAAAGCCGAGGAGCAAGCGAAAGCCGAGTCTGGAAGAGGGTTCCGACTTTACATTGCTTTTGCGCGCCTACAGTACCGACATGCATCACATGTAGTGCCGCACCTCGAGCAGTTGCTCAACGGAGTTTCCAGCCGCTGTGCTCAAAGAAGCGTGGCTTTCTGAACGTGAGCTTCCAGTCAGTGCGCAAGCCTAGCAAGCCTAGCAAGTTCGTAACTTCGGCTAAAGGTCGTATAGTAGCCGAGCCGTTGGGTCACCGGAGCCATGTACTCTAACCCTAAACGTGGAGGTCTGGACAGCTTTTTACAGCTCACTAGGCATTCGGCCTTGTGCCACGCGTTTTCGCTGTACCTTGCTCGTACTTCCAGCATCCGTCAAGACAAGTCAACACTGTCATCATCGCTTGTTTCGGCGAGTGCTCCGCCATGGCGCTGCGGCTAAGCGCTGAAACGCTGGCGGCCCTTGCACAGGTGCGAGGCTTTAGATGGCGAGGCCCAAGCCATAGGTGCCCATCCGCCGCACAATCTTGATTGAGGCTGAGGGCGAGACACCGCCCGGGCCCCATCTTGGTCATGAGAGCCCTGGAAGGGTGCGACCGAGACACAAGTGCACTTCTTGCCAGGCCCACTAGTCCTTGCAGCTTCGTGCTCAAGCCGCTTGGCCGGGCGAGCACGTGGCCTGCGGTTGTAGCCTGCACTCAAAAAGGAAGAACTTTCCGAGCTCTAAGGAAGGACTTGGGCAGCCTGGAGGATGTGGCGGAGGCCTCTGCCCCAGCTCGGACTTCATGCACCGGAGCATTGGAATATCCAAGTGTTGCAGGATGCAGATGCAAGCACGGCGCCTGGTCCCCAGATCATCGGCGGGAGATGTTGGAGTCCGATGTGACATGATGTGAGCATCGGCATCAGCATCTCAGCGTGCTTGTCTTGCACGTCTTGCCGCCGCTGCAAGGCCAAGCAGTCCGCAGCTCGCACCTCCGCAGCTTGGCCAGGGCAGGCAGCGCAGAAACGGACGTGCTCTACCACGTGTTACGGTTGCACGCAAACATGAGAAGACGAAATCACACATCAGTAGCTCACAGCAAGTAAGCCTCGAGATCTTTCGGAGCACCCCCCTGCCCTCCCCTGTAGCTCTGTGCAAACCGCGACGCGTGCTGCTCACCTGATCTTAGGATGGAGCCAAAGTGCCCATCCGGCCCATCCGGGATGCCGTGGTGGTGGCGGGTTGTCCCGATTCTTGGCATTTTGTTGATGTCCCTTGTTTGCATAGCCTTCGCGGCGACTAACGAGCCAGCTTGAAGCATGAGCAGCAACTCAGGAAGCAGGAGCGCCAGGCCTTCTCGAATTGCAGGGCTAATTGTCGGTATCGCTGGACTCTGGATACTGGTAGGTACTCTGGGCCACCAGGCACTCTGTTGAATTGAGTTGAGTTTGAGCTGAGTTGTTGATAGCCTTGTGCTGTGGCATGCCGTGGCAATCCCCAAGCTCCCTGATGATCCCTGGTGCTTCGGACGCGAGCAGCTGATTTCCATTAGGTGGTATGACTTGAGATTGCAGGAATGAATGGGAATGAGATAGGATGCGATATCTTGTTTTACGGTATTTCATATGAGATAGGATGCGATATCTTGTTCACGGTATTTCCCGATGAGCTCCTGGAGGATGAGACAGCAAAGGCGTTGGACGGCCTCCGTGCAGAACCTCGGACGGCTTTAGTCGAAGCGTAGGCTGGCCTTGCTCGCTGGAGTGCGTAGTGTCTTCCACAAATCCTGGAGTGCCAAATGTAGCTTCGAAACAACGCTAAACCCTAAACCCTAAGCCCTAAACCCTAAACCCTAAACCCTAAGCCCTAAACCCTAAACCCTAAACGCTAAACCCTAAACCCTAAAACCCTAAACCCTAAACCCTAAGCGCATCAGAAGTTGGAAACCCATCGCCCCGAGAGCCAAGATGAAGCAGCAGCTTCTGGACGCGCGGCGATTGTCACCTTGCTGGATCTGGCCTTGAGGGATCTGGGCTTTTTCTTGAGGTTGACAGCTTGAGCATAGTAGTGGAGTCCACTAAGCTCAGGCCCCTTCCTGACTTCGCATTTACACGCGTTGGTGTTAGCTTTCATGTTACCCGAGACAGCTTGCTGCCACCAAGGCGCGCGGCTCATGCGCTCCCGCCCTTGTGGGAGCCAGCTCCTCAGGCGGATGTGGAAGGTGCAAAGTGTAAATAGTACCAGTGGAGTTAGCTCAGGATGGCTCAGGCTCATCAGGCTCATGTGGCTCAGGTCCCTAATCACAGGTGCCTTGCTTGCTACATCTTACCGCCAATGCCTCCAATGGATTTGCCTTTCTTCGCCCAGGACGGGCATGAGGCCAAGCACGAGGCGACGCTGGGCAGCAAGAATGAATCAATGAACAACAGTGTGCCCGTTGCATAGTTCACGTAGCGGT